TCATATTTTTTACCTGCCAACTACAATCTCAATGCAGTCTAAGTCCTTTAAAAAGTACCTCTGCTTAGGAGGTTGAGGCAGGAGGATTGCTTTAGCAGCAATGGGAGGTCAAGGCGGTGGTGAGCTGTGATCACACCTCTGCACTCCAGCCTGGGTGACCAGAGCAAGACATCTCTAAAAGAAAATTTTCTTAAAAAGTAGCTTTGAACATAGTCTCTCAACATAATGACTAGCACTCTCAAGGCAGTTAAAAAAAATAAAAGCCAAATAGTAAAAATTTCAATTAACTGAAATATACTAGTTCTAATTCTGTACTGATCTTACATTAAGTGCACAAATCCAATGTCTATGTGCTCAAAACAATAGATGGCACTTCTGACAAGTCAAGGTAACTCATTACAGTATCTTTTTTATAGAGAAGTATATATATAATAGTCATCCTTATCTTCTGAGGATATGTTCTAAGACCCTCAGTGGATGCCTGAAAAAGGGGGATAGTACAGATCCCTATATATACTATGTTTTTCCTATATATACTGTGTTTGTTCCTATACAGCTACTGTCGTTGAACAATGTTTCAGTCATCAGTGGACCACATATGTGATGGTGGTCCCATAAGATTATAATGCTGTATTTTTACTGTACCTTTTCTATGTTTACGTACATACTTACCATATGTTATGATTGCCTATTCAGTACAGTAACATGCTGTACAGATTTGTAGCCCAGGAGCAATAGGCTGTATACCACATGGCCTAGATGTGTAGTACAGCATACCATCTAGATTTGTATAAGTGACTCAGTGATGTTTGCACAATGACAAAATCACCTCACAACACATCTCTCAGTAGGTATCCCCATCTTTAAGCCAGTTGTTAAGCGACATACGACTGTACATACATGCCCTACAGTGCGAATACACTGGACAGATGGATGATTCAGCTCCCAGGTGGAACAAGGTGGGATGGTGAGAGATTTCATCATGTTACTCAGAATGGTGTACAATTTAAAACTCATAAATTATTTATCTCTGAAAATTCTTTTTAATACTTTTTTTTTTTTTTTGAGATGGAGTCTTGCTTTGTCACCCAGGCTTGAGTGTAGTGGCACAATCTCAGCTCACTGCCATCTCTGCCTCCCGGGTTCAAGTGATTCTCATGCCTCTGCCTCCCGAGTAGCTGGTATTACAGGTGTGTGCCACCATGCCTGGCTAATTTTTGTATTTTTAGTAGAGATGGGGATTTCACCATGTTGGCCAGGCTGGTCTCGAATGCCTGACCTCAGGTGATCTGCCCACCTCAGCCTCCCAAAGTGCTGGAATTACAGGTGTGAGCACCACACCTGGCCTCCTTTTAATAGTTTTGGACCATTAGTAACTGAAACCACACAAAGAGAAACCATGGATAAGGAGACCTACAGTACATCACAGTGACTGAACTGAATACTGACCCTAGTACATGACTTAGAAGTTGGCTGTTCTTGTGTAAAAGTCCCAATACCAGCTTAGTGTCTATTACCGTTTTTTGTAGAGTCACGTATAAAGGTAGAGTAATTCAGTTAATTGAAACAGAACCCTCAATTCAAATTTCATTATTAATGAGAAACATGTGCCCCTTCTTTCCACAAAACCCTGGCTATGGCTGACCATTTACTGGTTAATGTGATCACTGGAATTTGAATTACAAGTGTTTTCAAATGAATGACGGCTTATGGTTTCTGTATTGAACCAAGCCTGATAACGAACATGAAGGGGCACACTGATGGCAGATTTTTATTTCTATATATTTCATACTGCATGTAAGTATAGGTTTCTTTTTCTGAGAAACCTATTGCCCAGACTGGAGTGCAGTGGCGAAATCTTGGCTCACTGCAACCTCTGCCTCCTGGGTTCCAGCAATTCTCATGTCTCAGCCTCTCAAGTAGCTGGAATTACAAGTGTGTGCCACCATACCCAGCTAATTTTTATATTTTTAGTAGAGATGGGGTTTCACTATGTTGGTCAGGCTGTCTCGGACTCCTGACCTCAAGTGATTTGCCTGCCTTGGCCTCCCAAAGTGCTGGGATTACAGGCATGAGCCACTGTGCCAGACCTGCATGTAAGTATACATTTCTATGTGTGGAAAGTGAGGAAAGAACTGAAAAAGACATTCATTCCACCACACTTGAGCCACATTTAGAAGCCATATCAATAGGGATAACAGGTAAAATGATAATGTCCATTTTCACTACAGCCCAGTCAGCTATAGCCTTGATGTTTACATGTTTAGTCTTAGTACTTTTTAAAAGAATTAGATAGTCCATTTTAGGGAAACTAAAGCTATATAATTTTTTCTGGTGTAGGGATTAATGGCTAGGTAGACTATTTCAGTAAGCACAGACTTTAAATTATTTTTATAATTTTTTACATTAAATTTATATAGCTGATATGAAGTTATTTTTTAAAATCAAACAGATTATATATCTTTCAATATAGAAATATATTTACACTATACATGCACTTATATCAGATAAATTATATAATTCTAAAGTCAATTTCATCTAGCCCCTGTACCTTCTAGAAGTGTATATACATTTCTATAAAATTCAAAATAAAACATTAAATCCCAGAAGAACTAATTGCCATTAGAAACTCGAGAGAGCACATGGGATGAATATGCATTAGAATTAAAAATTATAGACCCAAACTATACTGGTATGCACAATAACCTGCCCCTTTATATTAGAGGAATTTTCTGTGAGTAGGACCCAACAGTAGCAAGTATACATCAATTAATGAAGTCTTTTACCTTTGCTAAAAGAAAAAGTCACCAGTGATGGATTAGTTTGCTTCTGTAACAAACTTTTCCTAATAAAGTGACAATTTTTTTTTTCATTTTAGCTGCTATGGAATTGTAGTTGGGCTAGATGTATAATTTACAATGTTGGAACAGATTAAGATGTCCAACTGTTTTTGTAACATCCTAAATTACTTTGAGAAATAAGTTCAGAGTATCAAATATTTCATACAAAACACACTGTACAAAAATCATGGACTTTATTATACATTAAAAAATCTAACAACTTTTTTCCTGAAGCCTTGTCAGTAAATACCTGTTGTGTGACAAAATGAAAAAATAAGTTCTCCACCCCACATGTATACCATGATCACAAAAAGTTGAGTTCTTCAAATCCAATTAAGTGAAACATTGCATGATTTTAAATTGTACACTGCATGATTAATACTATCAGTGAAATAAAAATTAACCAATTCACTTACATTATGAAATCACCAAATATACAAAGCAATTTTGCACATTAGTTACAACTTAATCCCCAGTCTCATATTAACTGAAGTAAATTTTATATGAGTGAAGCCACAGAGATTGGTTAAAAAGTATAATATAGTTCCAGTTTCAAATCTTTATGTATTACTAATTAACATAGAAAAAAAAATCTTATGGGAGAAGAGTAAACCAAACTTGCTAAAAATAAAGGGTTGCTTGCTACAATTGGTATGTTTAAATATTTAAAATACAATCTGAATGCTAAGAGGTTGAAAACCAACATTAATATTTTCATTTTATTCAGGTGGCAGGTTTTACAATATACTAGCTCTTAGGATCTCTCTCAGAATTAATAATAGGATTCAAATTTTAAATACTATGGTTCTTAAATATAATGCAAAATTAACTCAGATGCCTTTACCATATAGGATTTTGTCATCCCTAGAATGCCCCTAGATTGTGGAGCCTGAGGATTCTTTTGAAAATAATCATTGCAGATGTGGCAAAAACTAGACTAGCTTTAGGGACTCTTTTTTTGTTGTTTTTTTTCAGATGGAGTCTCACTCTGTCACCCAGGCTAGAGTGCAGTGGCGTGTTCCTGGCTCACTACAACCTCCACCTCCCCGGTTCAAGCAATTCTCTGCCTCAGCCTCCCGAGTAGTTAGGATTACAGGCGCCCACCACCACGCCCGGCTAATTTTTTGTATTTTTAGTAGAGACAGGGTTTCACCATCTTGGCCAGGATGGTCTTGAACTCCTGACTTCATGATCCACCTGCCTCAGCCTCCCAAAGTGCTAGGATTACAGGTGTGCACCTCTGTGCTAGACCGGGACTCTATTTAAGGTAACAGCTTTATTCTCTTAGCAAGTTTTCAGAATTTTTAAAGTTAGAAGGAATAACTGGTTTCCTAACTACTGACTTCATTGCCATAGTTACAAATACACTGTTCATTTAAGTAACAGAATGCATTGTAGAAGTAGGCAGGCTTAGTATCTTTTCTTTTAAAAGAGCAGTTTTGGTGATTTCTAAAAACATTAACTCAATGTGAGAAAAGATACACAAAATCTAATCCAATTACTTTCCAAGCATCTCAAGATCTAGAAGGGATTTCAAAGAGGATAACAATCAGCTTACCACTAGGCAGAAACCCATGGGCAACCTTTAAATAACAAAAAGCTTATTAAAACGAACACTTAAATCTCTGCAGTAATGGAATAGTTCATATCGTTCAATAGTAAGTAATGGAATAGAAGTTGAATCATCTAAAATTGTTAAACCCATTCATAACTTCTATTTAGCATTGGAATGCACTTTGATCTGACCTATGGACATGGGTGCATTATTGTAGAAATTCCTGTGAACATAACTTAAAACGAACTACAGGTCTGTCTAGCATCCCTAAGTCTGCCAGTGCCCTTAACTCTAGCCTACACTATGAGCCAGGGTGCTGACAAAGGGCAGCACTTGCTACCATGCAAAGCACCAGCTTAGTGAAGCTGCCTCCTACTGATGACCACCTTTCCTGTAGAGTAACAGACTTCATCTGAGCTAAGTGAAGTGACAATTTGTAGTACTTAATGGAACAGAAAGCTCTAGTCTCCAAAGGTCTTAAAAACAGGACTTGCCATGAAAGTGCTGGCAACAGAAGAAATTCCAACTTCAACAAAACGACTGATACACTATTGTGAAAGCATTCCCTTTGTTAAGCACAAAATAAACTTTTTATCAAAAAGTACTTCATAAATTTCTACTTTTTTACTGTATGTTTTGGTAACATAAGGTGTCAGTAAATAAACATTACACCCATTTGGCACATGGATAAAAGGAATATCATGAGCCTATATATCATCTATCCTATTCTTACAGAAAGCAATGTACATATACAGTGTGAAACAACCGAGTTATAATTTGAGACCTAAAACAGATGCCATTTCTAATGCAGAACTAAGGAGAAAAAACTGTATATCGAAAAAAAGGGGGGGGGGGATTTCCCTTGTAAAATTATTAGTCTTAGTGGCTAACCTCTTGAAAAATTGGTAAATGTGTGACTATGTAAAATGTTTTACTCACTATATTGGGTATATATCTGTGTGTGTATATATATATACTTTTTCATGTGAAACACATGAAAATATAATTTCTATTGGCAATGTTAAAAATGTGTTTACAGAAAAATTATGGTTTAACATAGACAGTAGGTTTAACATAGGCAGCAGAGAAAAGTTATTTTAACCTTGGCAACAGGTTAAATCCTTCCTTAGTCAACTTCTCTTATACTATCCTAGGCATTCAGTTCCTTTCAATCTTTCTGGACCTTTTACTCATTTGAAGAGTAGACATATTTACAATAATTAGTGCAAATTATTCTATTCTCAGACATTAGTTATTTGCCTTTGTGGATATAAAGTGGTGATTCAGTACTTTATCAAAACATGGGATTATGAAAATACTGGGAATATAAGTCTGAAATTTATAAGATTACATTTTCTAAACTAAACTCTGGTAATTTTTACTTTAAGCATGAAACATAACTGTTATAGAACTTCTTTTGAAATGTCACTTGACTTTCAGTAAAAGCTATTTCATACAATGCAGAAAATACAATGTATCACTCCACAGCAATGTCTTTGTCATTCCTAATCTAAAATGTATCTGAACAACAACAAAAATCTTTTAATAAATTCCAATATCTTATTTTTAACCACTACTGCTCTGCAGCAGTAATTGAAGTCCCAACCTGAGAACTAAGAATATGATAATAAAATGCCAAGGGCTCTATCAATCTTGAACTGAAGACACTTAAGCTTCTTTCTACTGGCATCAGGTGCAGTACATTAGAGACATATGAGCAATCCCAGAAAGTGGCCCTGAGATCAACAGTACCACCTACCACAATTTGAAACCTTAAGTGTAAAATCTCTGTTCTAATTATTTTATAAAAGTTCTATTGCACATTAATATTGTTAAAATATTTGCAAACTTGTAGAATTCTCTGTATAAAGGGCTTTAAACTTTTTCAGCTAAATGCTTCCTCATTGCCAGCAAAATTTTCCTAATGAAAGAAAAGGACCATAACCATGAATGTCTAAGCCTGAAGAATTAATGATTTTTCATAGCCAATTACAATGCAAGATTCAAAAGTTCACAATTTGAAGGAAAAAATTCTTAAGCAAATTCCTCAGCAGTCTACCTCAGGGAGATGAGCAGGTTTCCTTTAGATGTTAATGCATAGTACATTATGTTTAAGGGGGGAAAAAAGATCAATGCAAACCTAAGTCATCAAGTTCAATCCTGTTTTTTTTTAAATGCAGCTACAACAAATAAGCAAATATAAAGCTTAGTTTCCTCCTAGATATTTCAACATAGTTGTTACCTTGTGCCATTTCACCACAGAAACTGTCAAATTCCAAAGGGGAAGTATCTATCAAAAAGTGTAAGTTTATGCTTCTGACTCTCTCTTCTTTCCTTCTTCTCCCAAATCACTCTCTTCTGACTGGCTACTGCTAAGGACAACAAACTGCCCCTCACTACTGGCTTGGTTTGGTCTACTGGAAGCAGCTATCAACCGACTTTGTTCTTCCAAGTCCTAGTGAAAAAAACAAAAAAGAAACTAAGTTACTTGCCTGCAGTCAAATGGAAAATTATGCAGTTAAGATACATTCTTAGAGCCACTTCAATTCTTCTGCCATAAATATATACACATACTTCTGACAACTTGATAAAAAGAAAAGCTACACCCAAACAATACAATACCAAAATGAATTTTGGCACCATCCTGTAAAAGCCAACATTCAAACTAAAATCTAATGTTTTCTTTTTCTCTTTTTACAACCAACAACCAAATAAAGCCATTATCATCTCTCACTATACACTATAGAAAAAACCCTTGTGAGGGATCACCCCACACTCCTTTCCCTTCCCCTCTCCAGCCCTTTTCTCCATCTCTGTCCAATTCATTTTGCTAAATCAGTTATCACCTTCCCTCAGCCTAGGCTATCAGGAAAGCCTCATTTCAGTGTCATCTTTGCCACTTCCCTCTTTTTTGTCCAGATGGCCAGCCCACAGCCAATGCTTACTGATCTGTTCTTAGTAAGTATTCCAGCTGTCTCCTCTTTTCCTTCCATGAGTGCTACAACCGATAACATGCTCTTAAGTCTCATAAATCATTTATCTAATACATCCTTCGAGTTTTGCTCTGAAATTTGTCTTTTAAAATTATCCTGTTGGATGGACAATGATTTGACATTCCTGGCAATATTTAAAATATATTATTTCATTATACATTACATATAATCTATAACATATATATATACACACACATATATCTATTTCCCCCATAGAAGGCAATTAAATGGCTTTCAGCAATGCCAATTAAGTCCTCTCAAAAGAACTACTTTGACAGACAACTTCCTCTGAAATGTGAAACAGTCGTATTACATGTCAACATAACTATAATATCAACATCCTAACAAAAACCAGATGTTACACTTTTCTGCTATGCTATGAATCATCTGTTTGTGAAGTGGCTGAACAAGCAGAAATAGCCCTTAATTTGGAAATTCAAATCTAAAAGTCACAGTGCTGAAATAAGTCTCCACAAACAACACATAAAGATCGACGTTAGGGCTGTGTACCTTTTCAATCTGTTTTTGTTTACTGAGTTCTTTCTGTTGCTTCTCTTTTACTCTCTCTATTTCTTTTTGTTTTTCTGATGCCCTACGATCCTAAACAACAGATAAATAAAACTAATGAATTAAATATGAAATAACTTTAAATTTTAGACATTTCAGTTAATACCACATTTGTCACCTTTCAGTTTTTTTTTTTTTTTTTTTGCATTTATAAATGAGAAAGCACACCAACAGTTTACATTCAATGGTAAACAATTATCCAAATTCTAAATGCCATGTTGGTAATAGCATCCACTGTTAACCTTGCTTAGCAAAATCATTTTATTTATTTGCTAATATGAAAGAGCTAATATATTATTTTAGTTAACATTTTTGGAAAATCAAGCATCTTGCATTCCTTTTTTTTTTTTTTTTTTGAGATATTAGAGTCTGGCTCTGATGCCCAGGCTGGAGTGCAGTGGTATGATCTCGGCTCACTGCAACCTCCACCTCCCAGGTTCAAGTCATTCTTGTGCCTCAGTCTCTTCAGTACCTGGGATTACAGGTACATGCCACCACGGCCAACTAATTTTTGTGTTTTTGGTAGAGACAGGGTTTCACCATGTTGGCCAGGCTAGTCTAGAACTCCCGACCTCAAATGATTTGCCCACCTCAGCCTCCCAACATGCTACAACTGCAGGCATGAGCCACTGTGCTCAGCCACATCTTGGATTCTTACCAGTTCAGCATGCAAAGCTATCTGTTTTGCCAGTCCAACAGAATCACATATCTAAAAAGAGAAAAAGTATGAAAACTTCAGGCAGTTCTCATATCAAAGCAAAAATGTCAAAATATCCAAATAACTGATACAACTAGTTTTATAACTAATGGTTATACACTGTATAATACAATGTATTATACCTAATACACTGTTTCAAGCAAAAGCATATTTAATAATGCTTCAGCCCCAAAACCAAGGCTTTGTATGTTTTCCTTGGAGTCTATAGGCTTCAATGTTGACTCTCACTTTCTTCAAATACCCCACTTCTTGTTATGTCAAATTCATCACTGTCATAGCAAGGCTTGCAAGGAATAAAGCAAGCAGCTGGTAATGCTGTTCTAAGTTGAAGACATCTGAAAATGGCTGGTTTGGGGAATATATTCCATTCCCAGCATAAATTAGAGACTAAAAGATTGCACCAGCTATCAGTGGCAGGGAAGACAGGTCTGTAGAGTCAGAAGGCCCAATCCATCAGCTTGGCTCTCTTCAGAGGAACATGCTTTGGTCAAACAGCTCAGTCAGCCTAGGCAAATCTAGGGGTTTTTTCCAAAAATCTTAAAAATTATATAAGAAATTTATTGACAAGAAAAACTACAAAACACTGATGAAAGAAACTGAAGACACACAAAAATCCCATGCTCATGGATCAGAATAACATCGTTAAAATAACCATATTGCCCAAAGCAATCTATAGGTTCAATGAAAATAGCCAAAGCAATCTTAAGCAAAAAGAACAAAGCTGGAGGCATCACATTACCTGACTTCAAAATATATTACAAGGCTATAGTAAGCAGAACAGCAGGGGATTGTTATAAAAATAAGACACATGACCAATGGAACAGAGTAGAGAACTCAGGAATGAAGCCACATGTTTACAGCGAACTGATCTTCAAACAAAGCTGACAAAGAACTTTCATTGGGGAAGGGATATCCTCTTCAATAAATGGTTCTGGCAAGATGGAGAGCCACATAGTAGAAGAATGAAAACAGACTCCTCTCGGTCACCATATACAAAAATCAACTCAAAATGCATTAAAGACTTAAACATAAGACCCAATACTATTAAAATACTAGAAGAAATCATAAGGATCAGAGCAGAAATAAATGAATCTGACATAAAGAAAACAATATAAAAGATCAACAAAACAAAGTTGGTTTTTTGAAAAGATAAATAAAACTGGCATAGCCAGACTAAGAAAAAGAAGACTCATGTAAATAAAATCAGAGACGAAAAAGTAGACATTAAAATTGATACTGCACAAAGTCAAAGGATCATTGGTGGCTATAATGAGCAAATATATGCTACTGGAAAATCTAGAAGAAATGGGTAAATTCCTAGACAAATACAACCTACCAAGATTGAACCATGAAGAAATCCAAAACCTGAACAGTCCAGTAACAAGTAACAAGATCCAAACCATAATAAAAAGTCAGTCTCCTGGTAAAGAAAAGCCCAGGACCCGATGGCTTTACTGCTGAATTCTACCAAACATTTAAAGAAGACCTAATATGTTCCCCAAAAATAGAGTAGAATACTTCTAGATTCATTCTACAAGACCAGTATTACCTGATACCAAACCAGAAAAAGACATATCCAAAAAAAGAAAACTACAGCCCAATATATCTAATGAATATTGATGCAAAAATCCTCAACAAAATACTAGCAAACCAAATTCAAAAACATATTAAAAAGATCATTTATCATGACCAAGTGGGATTTATCCCAGGGATGCAAAGATAGTTCAACATATGCAAATCAATCAATATGCCAAATTATATCAACAGAATAAAGGACAAAAACTATTTGATCACTTCAATTGCTGCTGAAAGTGCATTTGATAAAGTTTAACATCCTTTCAGGATTAAAAAAAACTTCAAAAAAACTTGGTAATAGAAGGAACACAGCTCAACATAATAAAAGCTATATATGACAGACCCACAGCTAGTACCAAAAGGCTATCCATCTTAAATCTGGAACGTGACAAAAATGCTCATTTTCACCACTCTTACTAATATTAAACATAGTACTAAAAGTCCTACCTATAGCAATCAGACAAGAGAAATAAAGGGCATCCAAACTGGAAAGAAAGAAGTCAAACTATCCTTGTCTGCAGATGATATGATGATCTTATATTTGGAAAAACCTCAAGACTTCACCAAAAAACTATCAGAACTGATGAATTCAGTAAAGTTTCAGGATACAAAATCAACATACAACAATCAGTAACATTTCTATATGCCAACAGTAAACAATCTGAAAAAGAAATAACAAAAAGTAATCCCACTTACAATAGCCACAGATAAAATTAAATACCTAGGAGTTAACCAAAGTGAAAGATCTCTATCATGAAAACTACAGGCCAGGCACAGTGACTCGGGCCTGTAATCTCAGCACTCTGGGAGGCCAAGGTAGGTGTTTGAGGCCAGGAGTTTAAGATCAGCCTGGTCAACATAGTGAAACCCCATCTCTACTAAAAATACAAAAATTAGCCCGGCATGGTGGCATACACCTGCAGTCCAGCTACTTGGGAGGCTGAGGCATGAGAATCGCTTGAACCTGGGAGGTAGATGTTGCAGTGAGCTGAGATCATGCCACTGTACTCCAGCCTAGGCAATAGAGTGAGACTCTGTCTCAAAAAACAAACAAACAAAAAACCCTATAAAACACTGATGAAAAAAATTGAAGAGGACACCCAAAATAGAAACATATTTCATATTCATGGATTAGAAGAACCAATCTTGTTAAAATGTCCATACTACCGAAAGCAATCTACAGATTCGATGCAATCCCTATCAAAAAACCAATGACATTCTTCAAAGAAACAGAAAAACATTCTGAAAATTTATATGGAATCATAAAAGATCCAGAAGAGCCAAAGCTATTCTGAGCAAAAAGAACAAAACCAGAGAAATCATATTACCTGACTTCAAATTACTATACTATAGAGCTATAGGAACCAAAATGACACTGGTATTTGCAAAAAAGAAAAAAAAAAAAGGCACATAGACAAATGCAACAGAATAGAGAACCCAGAAACAAATCCACACTACTACAGTGAACTCTTTTTTGACAAAGGTGCCAAGAATTTAATTGGGAAAAAGACAGTCCCTTCAATAAATGGATCCAGGAAAACTGGATATCCACTTGCAGAGGAATAAAACTAGACCCCTCTTTCTTACCATATACAAAAATCAAATCAAAATGGATTAAAGACTTAAATCCAAGACCTCAAACTATGAAACTACCTACAAGAAAATATTGGGGAAACTCTCCAGGACATTAGTCTGGGCTAAAATTTCTTGAGTAATACCCACAAACACAGGCAACTAAAACAAAAATGGACAAATAGGATCACATTAAGTTAAAAAGCTTCTGTATGGCAAAAGAAACAACAAAGTGAAGAGACGAGCCACAGAGTGGGAGAAAATATTTGCAAACTACTTATCTGACAAGTGATTAATAACCAGAATTTACAAGGAGCTTAAACAACTCTATAAGAAAAAACTTAATAATCCAATTTTAAAATGAGCAAAATATTTGAAAAAACATTTTCAAAAGAAGACATACAAATGGCAAACAGACATATGAAAAGGTCCTCAACATCACTGATCATCAGAGAAATGCAAATCAAAACTACAATGTATTATCTCAGCTTCAGTTAAAATGGCTTATAGCAAAAAGACAAGCAATAGTAAAAAGATGAGCAATAACAAATGCTGGGAAGTATGCGGAGAAAAGGGAACTCTTTTACACTGTTTGTGGGAATGCAAATTAGTATAAACACTATGGAGAAAAGTCTGGAGGTTCCTCAAAAAACTAAAAATGGAGCTTTCATATGATCCAGCAATCTCACTGTTAGATATATACTTTAAAAAAAGGATATCGGGCGAGCACAGTGGCTCAAGCCTATAATCCCAGCACTTTGGGAGGCCGAGGCAGGCAGATCACAAGGTCAAGAGATCCAAACCATCCTGGCCAACATGGTGAAGCCCTGTCTCTACTAAAAATACAAAAATTAGCTGGGCGTGGTGGCGCATGCCTGTAGTCCCAGCTACTTGGGAGGCTGAGGTAGGAAAATGGCTTGAACCTATGAGGTGGAGGTTGCAGTGAGCCGAGATTGCGCCACTGCACTCCAGCCTGGCAACAGAGCAAGACTCTATCTCAAAAAAAAAAAAAAAAATAGATTGAAGAGATACCTGGACTCCCATGTTTCCTGCAGCTTTGTTCACAATAGCCACAATTTGGAAGCAACCTAAGTGTCCATTAACAGATGAATGGATAATGAAAATACACATATGCACAATGGAATACTATTCAGCCATGAAAAAGAATGAGATTCTGTCATTTGAATGGATGATATGCAGATAAAGAAAATGTGGTACTTATATACAATGGAGTACTATTCAGCCATAAAAAAGAATGAGATTCTGTCATTTGCAACAACACAGATGGAACATGGAGGTATTATGTTAAGCAAAATAAGCCAGGCACAGAAAGGCAAATATTTCAGGTTCTCATTTATCTAAAAATCAAAGCAATTGAACTCATGGAGACAGAGAGGAGAAAGATGGTGACCAGAAGCTGAGAAAGGTAGTATGGGGATGGGTGCTGGAGGGATGATTAATGAGTTATGAAAAAAAAAAACCAGAATGGGTAAGACTGAGTATTTGATAGAACAGGGGGATTATGGTTAATAACTGTACATTTAAAAATAACTAAAAGGAGTATAATTGGATTATTTCTCATACAAAAATGCTTAAGGGAATGAATACTCAATTTTCCATGATGTGATTATTTTGCATTGCTTGCCTGTACCAAATATTTCATGTACTACATGTACTGTGGGTATCTACTGTGTACCCAAAAAAATTAAAAAAGTTAATCCTACTTTCACCATTTTAGCTCTAATCAGTCTCTTGAGAAACTTCGTTACTATGATATTCTCAATAATTGTTCTATTAAAGATTTTTTTCCAGTGTGGCGGCTCACAACTGTAATCCCAGCACTTTGGAAGGCTGAGGCAGGTGGATCACTTGAGGTCAGGAGTTCAAGACGAGCCTGGCCAACATGGTAAAACCCTGTCTCTACTAAAAGTACATTAGCCAGGTATGATGGCAGATGCCTGTAGTTCCAGCTACTTGAGAGGCTAAGGCAGGAGAATCACTTTAATCCAGGAGATGGAGGTTGCGGTGAGCAAAGATTGTGGTGCCGCGCTCCAGCCTGGGCAACAGAGCAAGAGTTCGTCTCCAAAAAAAAAAAAGTTATTTTCCATAGGGAAAAAAAAAATCCTAGCCGAGAACCTAGGGAGCATTCTCTTGCACACTGGTTTAGGCAAAGATTTTACGCCTAAGATCTCGAAAGCACAGGCAACAAAAACACGTAGACAAATAGGGCTTAATTAAAAAGTATCTGCACACCTAAAGAAGTAAGAGTAAACAGACAACCAGTTGAATGGGAGAACGATTTGGAAACTATTCATCCAACTGGGGACTAATATCCAGAACATACAAGGAACTCAACAGGGAAAAAAACAACCCCATTTAAAAGTATGCAGAGGATAATACAAACTTTTTAAAGGACATGAAAATAGCCACCAGGTATATTAAAAAAATGCTCAACATCACTAATCATCAGAGAAATGCAAATCAAAATGACAATGAGCCATTCATACCCTATCATTAAAAAGACAAAAAGTAACAGATGTTGGTGAAATGCAAAAAAAGGGTAACTCATACACTTTTGGTAGGAACATAAACCAGTACAACCACTATGGAAAACAGTACGGAGATCTTTCAAAAACTAAAAATAGAACTAACATTCAATCCAACAATCCCACTACTGGGTATCCACCCAAAATTAAAGAAATCTATATCAAAAGGATACCTGCACTCACATGTTTACTGTAGCACTATTCAGTAGCAAAGCTATGAAATCAATCTAAATGTTCATTCACAGATAAATTAATAAAGAAAATGTGGCACATGTACACAATGGAGTACTATTCAACGATAAACAAGAACAAAATTATGTCATTTGCAGCAACATGGATGGAACTAGAGGTCTTTATCTTATGTGAAATAAGCCAGGCACAAAAAGACAAATATCACATGTTCTCACTTGTATGTGGGAAATAAAAATTTGATCACGTGGAGGCAGAGAGTGGAATGGTAGATAACAGAGACTGGGAAGGCTGAGTGATAGGGAAAGGGGAGGATCAAGAGAGGTGAGTTAAAGGGTACAACCATAAATTATGATAAAAGGAATATATTCAGTATCTGACAGCAGAGTAGGGTGACTATAGTTAACAAAAATGTATTGTACTTGGGTGGACACCCTAAATACCCAAACTTGCTTACTACACATTACATACATGTAACAAAATTCACATGTACCTCATATATTTGTATAAATTGTAAAGAATTCAATCACTAATTACTAAGTAATTTAATAAGAATTTAATAATTTTAAATCTTACTAAGAATCACTTGGTAAGTGGTTACGACAGAGATATTCTGAAAAGCCACGTACCTTTTCCCCCTCATTGTTTGACTCGAATATATAGCAGACTGATGACAGATTACTTTCACTTCTCCCGCCTGATGTCCGAAGAACAAATCCAAAAAGGCGTTTGTTTTCCTGGTGCGTAGCATACAAAACTACACAAGGCAATGGAAACTGCCACAGAAAACATCAGAAGCAAACATGAGATCTTACAAATCATTACAGCAGCACTCATGACAAACTCATATGCTAAGTTCTAAAAATATCATAAATATTTTAAAGACAATTATTTTAACAGACTTGTAATGCAGAAACAAGTAATGTCATATTTGATTTGAATTACCAAGCAGAACAAGAGGCTGTTGAATATTAGTCATTAATACATTTTACAAAGTCAAACTGAATTTAAAAAGTGGTCTTTTTAATAAATGATAAAATAGAAACAGTTCTTTAACATTTAATAATTTATTAAATAGAAATTATTAAATAGAACATAAATAACTATGAAATAAACTAACATATTTACCTTCTCATTCCTACTGTTAATTCTTTGATGTATGATATATGCTTCCTAACTAAGGGATAAACACTAAGTATCACACCAAATTGTGTTAATTCTTTTAAGTTACCTAAAATGTTCAATGACAACTTTTTGGAGATGGCCATAGACTTAACTACAACAGCCAAAGACCAATCAGAGCTAGCACACTTGAATATACAGGATCAGGATTATTACCAAGTTGTAAGATGTATACATATACACAGTGGGACCTAAAACAAAGCTTAAATCACGTGAAACTCACCGTAAGCCTTGTAACTTGTGTCTGTGGATCAATTAACCTAAAATAGTAATTTAAAAATTGGAAAACATTTTAATTAGGTAAAATGGTAAATGTTTTTTCTACAGTTTTTTAAGGGAGGGTTTTACTTACTTTAAACAGTCACAAGTGACTAATAAATGCGATTCTGTCATACGAAAGATGTTATGGATGGCTCGGGCAGCTAAGATTTGGCGCATGGTTTCATAAACAACATCCGGATGGTCATCTGATTTCACCTCCATTGAACCAAGGAATCGGACAATAAATAACTGGTGAAGAATAGAATCTATAACAGAACAAGACATATTACATATTTTTAAACACCATATTTCCTTTCCAAAAGAATAAAATACACTGCCTCCTTCTAGATTTTCTAGTGAAAAATTCAACAACCTAAGGGAGACATTTCAAAATAACTCCTAACTATAGTATTCTAAGTTATAGGAAAATTAGGGTTTCAAATTCAAATAGCTAAAAGTAATGCTTCAACAACTGGTGGTTCTCAGGCCAGGCATGGTGGTTCATGCCTGTAATTGTAGCACTTTGGGAGGCTAAGACAGGACAATCCCTTGAGCCCATGAGTTCAAGATCAGCCTGGGCAACAAAGGAAGACCCTGTCTCAAAAAAAAAAAAAAAAAAAAAAACAAAAAATACAAAAAATCAACAACTGATGGTTCTTACAGCTTTTCTGTAAGTTTAGAATTAAAATAAACAGGCCAGGCACAGTGGCTCATGCCTGTAATCCCAGTATTTTGGGGGCCGAGGCGGGCAGATCACAAGGTCACGAGATTGAGACCATCCTGGCCACCATGATGAAACCCCATCTCTACTAAAAATACAAAAATTAGCCGGGCATGGTGGCATGTGCCTGTAGTCCCTGCTACTTGGGAGGCTGAGGCAGGAGAATAGCTTGAACCTGGGAGGTGGAGGCTACACTGAGCTGAGATTGCAACACTGTACTCCAGCCTGGCAACAGAGTGAGACTCCGTCTAAAAAAAAAAAAAAAAAAAAAAGAAAGGATTAAAATAAATAGTTAGCGGTGGTGGGGGGAAACAAAACTTATGCTCTAGTACCAGAAGTGAAACATCAACTACTAGGAGAAGCCTAAAAGGTATCTTAGGCACTGAGTATTTGACTATAAGGTCAAAAGTATGAGTCTATCATTTTATATGAATCACAACATCCTGTCAGATTAAGTTCTGTTGCTTCAAGAGTACTATGAGTAAGCAGAGGAAATTCTGAACTAAAGACAGCATTAAAACTGAGCATGGTAGCAGAGCAAATATAAATGACAAATTTTTCACGGTTTGCTGATAAGCAGTTCTAAAATAGATGAATGCTGCACATCCATTTTACCTTCAGTTTCAGATTTTGTACTTCCTCCAGATTCTCCAAATGGATTTGTACGCCTGAAGAGTTTAGAAAAAAATATGGTCAGTTACCATGAACCACATAGAAGAAATCGAATCATTAAAACCAGAGTTAACGTTTTAAAAAGAAAGCTCTAAAATGTCCCATCCTGCTAAGAAACACTATTGATCACTAAATGACTATGATGAAGGCCTCTGTCCTCACATACTAACTAATCAATATTGATGCATTTTAGAAGAGACAGATGAATCAGGAGTTTAGCCATACACAACAAAAAAATCAGCATAATAATAAACCATGTTGCAAAAGTTCTTGAATTTAAATAAGCTAGCACAGAGGAACACTGATTTAGTTGCAATCTTTGCTAGAGAACTCCAGGAATGTCATGGAATTGTAAAAACTTCTTTTTAGGTTCTCTAAGCACACATTGCAACTTAATAAGCTAGTTTTAAATTTGTATTTCTTAAAGCATAAGTAACAATGCAAAAAGAAAAGTGAACTGGAGATGGAAGCTACCTTTCTCCTTAGTGTGCATGGCTTGTGGCACACCACAGTGAAGAAAGAAAAGTACAATTCAAAGTAGTTTTTTGGAGGGCTGGGTGTTGTGGCTCACACCTGTAATCTCAGCACTTTTGGAGGCCAAGGCAGGAGGACTGCTTGAGCCCAAGAGTTCGAGACCTGCTTGGGCAACACAGAAAGACCCCGTCTCTACCAAAAAATTTAAAAAATTAGCTGGGCATGGTGGCACATTCCTGTGGTCCTAGCTACACAGGAGGGTGAGCCAGGAGGATCCCTTGAACCTGGGTCAAAGCTGCAGTGAGCTATGATCATGCCACTGCACTCTAGCCTGAGCAACAGAGTGAGATCCTATCTCAAAACAAAAAAAGTAGGTTTTGGAAGCAGAGAGTTTTAAGTGGTTCTAAAAAAAAACCCAAAACACAGTGACATTAAGATAACAGGAAATTAGGCCAGTGCAGTGGCTCAAGCCTAAAATTCCAGCACTTTTTGGGAAGCCAAGGTGGGCAGATCACGAGGTCAGAAGTTCGAGACCAGCCTGGCCAACATGGTGAAACCCCGTCTCTACTAAAAATAAAAAAATTAGCCAGGCATGGTGGCAGGTGCCTGTAATCCCAGCAACTCAGGAGGCTGAGGCAGGAGAATTGCTTGAACCCAGGAGGTGGAGGCTTCAGTGAGCCAAAAACATGCATTGCACTCCAGCCCGGGCAACAATGCAAGACTCTGTCTCAAAAAAAAAGAAAAAAAAGACAACAGGAAATTAATCTCTTTAGTACATGTCTGACCTATTACATCAAATGCTAAGTGTATTTCCATAATCAAATGTAAATTACTTTTTCTGGGTCATAGCCATTTTATCCAAATTAATATATTATCAATTTATTAGGTGTCCACTCTACTTAATAAACAGTCATGTTTCCTTCATCTACAGCCAAGGAAAATTTTAACTGCTTTGGTGAGAATATTCATTATATAAACAAAAGATGGCTCATTAATAATTCAAAACAGTGATAATGTGTTAGTAACTTCCTGAAGATTTCTTATTCTGGTATAAGATAATATTTTCTAATAAACGTATATCACATGTATTACCTTCAAGAATTTTTAAAAAACCATCATGACCTGAAAACAGGGCTATCAACTTTCTTCTGCAATTTTAAAAGCAAACATCTAAGAAGTAGACCTAATGAGCAATTCAGAATTAAATATTTTGAAACTAAATTATCTTAACTCCTTAACTGAGGCAGAAGACATAGGCAAGAATCTATCAATATGTTACAAAGAAAGTACAACATAGCTGAGGTACATGATAAATAAGAGCAGACTCTCAAACATAGATAGGGGATTATAAACCTTACAGACCACAGCACAAAGTACCTGTGATGCTATCACCCACCTGCCTCCCTGGCCAGAGGCTTTTGCTTGGCCAGGCTGATCTTCACACACAGGAGAAATTATGTCAAACTGTATTGGGGTATCTGGGGCAACAAGAGAATCTAGAGAAAGAGCAGCCAAATTTGTAGACTCAGATCCTAGGGATCCTGAACTGCTGGTTCGAGCTGTCAGTGGCCGAGACTGTCTAAGCATAAAACAAGAAGGCATTACATTTAATTTTCCCTTTTGGATATTAAATATAAACACACTATGAAAAAAGAAAACCCAATATTGTAAGTCAATGAGAAATCTTATGTTTCAGTAGAAACATAATCCCAGATCACAGATACTTTAAATAGCCCATATCGTTTTTTAAATAACCAGTGTGGTAACTTACCCTCCTCCTGCTGGCCGCAGGCTCTCGTGCCTCTGCTGGAAAGATGGGGAAGGAGTGACAGCTTCCAGAGCTGACTGATTTACTCGTGCAGCAGTTTCCTATTTTAATTTTTTTTAAAGGACTAATATTAGTAAAGTAAGCAAACCAAAAGTTTGAATGTAACTTTGAATTGTTAGAATGCTTCTGAGTTACACTTAAAATATAAATTAGAGCTACTAAAGTAGTTCCATATTTTCTTGTCTTAATATTAGGGTACATAACTGATTTATTTCCTATAATCTAGAAATAAAATTTCTGATTTTCTACTTATACACAATTATTATATATTGCCTTTCTTTAATTTTTCTAAATTCCCTGCAAATGTTGCACACTTTAAATTTTTAAAGAAAATACTGTTTTTTTCTTTAAAAATTTAACTACCAGATATTTTTGATTCAAGTTTTATTGCTAGCACCCAGCCCAGTACCTGATACAACAGACAATTGATATATTTGTTGAATAAAGAAATTCAGGAGTAGGAAATACTCATAAAATATGAGTATTTTATAACTATGCTAGAAATTTTCACAATTTTCCAGAATATATTTATGCTCGGAAATATCTGTTTATTAATTTATAAAGTTGTCATACTTTCAGACCAAAAAATTGAAAATAAGAAAGCTTTCCATAGAAATACTTTAGACTTACTGTTTTATTTAAAACACTAAATAAAATGATATTTAAATTAAAAATGTTTTAATAATGTATAGTTAATATTACTCTTCTTGTATACTTAAAAATGGTTAACATGGTAAATTTGTGGGTTTTATCACGATTTTTTAAATGGTCTTTTTTTGGGAGATAGGTTCTTTGTTGCCTAGACTGGAGTGCAATGGCATTATGGCTCCCTGCAGCCTTGATCTCCTATGCTCAAGCAATCCTCCCCTCTCAGCCTCCTGAGAAGTTGGTACTGCAGGATATACTACATAAAAATGGTCTTTAAATTAGAAAAAATAATTACAAAACAGGTTTGCATTTCTTGTCTCATAGTTAGCAAAATCATCACCAATACAATGCCATAAACTGATCAAAATTTCTATTCTAATAAAGATAAAATAATTCTGGATAACCTAGGAAATATTAACTAAAAATTAGAGTTCTGATAATTAGTAAGAAAAGACTAAGTATTACAAACTATTCAAATTCAAACACTGTATTCCCTAGATGATAAAATAAATCATGTAATTTGTATTTTAATTGTATTTTTTGTTGCTCCCAAGTAACCTTACAAAAAGGAAAAGCTAGATTGGTGGGAGATCAAATTGCTAAAAGCAAAAGACTTCTCTACAGTTACCACTGATTTTCCATAATTAAACTTATAATTTATTGTATTATATATAATTATAATACATTATATGTTACAGTATAAATATAATAACATTATTATAAAACTAACAAATTACTAGTATGTTGGCGGTCATGAGATTTTGTTTCTATGGTTCAAAACTTCCTCCTAGGCATTTCTTAGCTGGCACCTCAAAGCCATTAAGATAAAAACAGAAACTCGGGCCGGGCGCGGTGGCTCAAGCCTGTAATCCCAGCACTTTCGGAGGCCGAGGCAGGTAGATCACAAGGTCAAGAGATCGAGACCATCCCGGTCAACATGGTGAAACCCCGTCTCTACTAAAAATACAAAAAATTAGCTGGGCATGGTGGCGCGTGCCTGTAATCCCAGCTACTCAGGAGGCTGAGGCAGGAGAATTGCCTGAACCCAGGAGGCGGAGGTTGTGGTGAGCCGAGATCGCGCCACTGCACTCCAGCCTGGGTAACAGGAGCGAAACTCCGTCTCAAAAAAAAAAAAAAAAAAAAGATAAAAACAGAACTCTTCTTTCCCAAATTCTTCTCTTCCCTTGGGTTTAAAACCTGGAAGTCATCTTTACTTTATTCATCTTCTTCATCCTTCACATCAATTAGTTACTAAACTAGTCTAGTCTAGCTCTCCCATCTAAACAATTACATCAGTAGCAGATTAAGATTTAGAAGAGTGAAAGCCTCCCAAAGAAATTATCTTTCCCAGCCTCAGCTGAAATCATCAGCCTGTGCCAAGCCATGGGAGTTGCCTGGATTGTCATAGCACAGACAGGCCCACCAAGAGTAGCAGAGGTCGGACAGCTCCTGTCCTAGTGTCATGTCTTTTTCCAACAACACTGAAGGACCCACTTGACTCCATACTCCTGGGTTCTACCTGTATGTTTGGACTGCACATATGGCTATGTCTACATGTCAGGGTTTGTCTGTTCTGATATCCTTGCTACTCAAAGTATAATTTGCAAAACTGGGAATTCAAGTTGTATCACCCTAGACATACTGAATCATATTAAGCATTTTAACAAGACCACTAGGTGATTTGTATGCATATTTCAATTTTGTATTCTCTATCAAGAATCTTTAACTTGGTTGGGTGTGGTGGCTTATGCCTGTAATCCCAGCACTTTGGGAGGCCAAGGCAGGTGAATCACCTGAGGTTGGAAGTTTGAGACTAGCCTGGCCAACATGGCAAAACCCTGTCTCTATTAAAAATACAAAAATTGGCTGGGCATGGTGGCACAGGCCTGTAGTCCCAACTACTCAGAAGGCTGAGGCAGGAGACTCACTTGAACCCGGGAGGCGGAGGCTGCAGTGAGCTGAGATTGCACCACTGCACTTCAGCCTGGGTGACACAGTAAGACTCTAAAAAGAATATTTAATTACATTACTAGTTTCATAAACTTGCCATTTCTACATCTGCATTTGTGCTCTTTTTTTTTTTCTCTTAACTGTACTGTCTCTTCTTTTCCTCAAAACACAAACAAATCCTACTCAACTCAGGTTTCCACCATCTCCACAAAGCTTTCTCTAAAGTCCACACTGATCTCAAAACTTAGTCATCACCATATGCTTTCAATTACATCCTGTTTTATCTAAAATGTTACTTAAAGTTTTAGTTTTGTCTCTCCATACAGAGAGGCTCTTGGAGGGCATGGCTCAATTTTCTTCTCTATTTCCTTTCTTCATGGTGCTCAACACGAGTAAAACAGTCAACACCCAATAAATATTTGTTGACCGACTGAGTTGAGTACCTTTTGAAATAATTTATTGTTCTAGAAAGACCACTCATTATATACATAGCACATTAAAGCTATTCATTCAGTTCAGATATAGTGGCTCACACCTGTAATCCCAGCACTTTGGGAGGCCAAGGTGGGCAGATCACCCACAGACAGGAGTTCAAGACCAGCCTGACCAACATGGATAAACCAGTTTCTATGAAAAATACAAAAATTAGCCGAGTGTGGTGGCACATAATCTCAGCTACTCGGGAGGCTGAGGCAGGAGAATCAGTTGAACCTGGGATGTGGAGGTTTCAGTGAAGAGAGATCGGGCCACTGCACTCCGATCTGGGCAACAGAGCAAGACTCCATCTCAAAAAAAAAAAACAACTACTCATTCAAGGCCAAATTAAAAACTTACAGAACTTGAGAAATTATGAATAAAAACATGTAAGCCACAAAATTACTCAATTTTGCTAGATCTGGGTAACATAAAATAAAAATATTACCTCTGGATTTTCACTTAAGTATATTTGTTTAGATATGTTGTTTATTGTACAGATCCACTGCAAGACGAAAAAATAGAAAAATATAATTAATAATTTTTTTCTATAAAGCTTCTCTTATAAAGGCAAATGTTCAATACTAAATTGCAGCAGATGTTTCATTAGAAGTAATACATTTATCTTCCTTATAAGAAAACATTTCATAAGGTACATATATAAAAATATTTATAAAAGAATATTCAACATTTTTATTATTTATGAAAACATTTAGTACATTTATGTAAGAAGCTCAAATTTAATTCATATAAGGAAATATAATAGCAATCATGTTAAACTATACATAACAATCTATATATTTCTTTTTATCACTTCCCCTCCTAAGCCTCACCATACAAGACAGTGTGAACTCAAGTATCATAATTAACACAAATGCAAAAAATTTAAAAGATAAATATATTCTTGGTGAATATATTTTACATGCCTCCGTTCTGTCAAGTTTATAAATTATTAGCATAGAAAACAATCTCTGCTCTAAATCTTCTGCTTAACTCTAGAGGATTCAAGTGTCTGTTAAGCATCATTAAACTAAACAAATATTGTTTGGAAAACTATGCAGAGAACAGACATTTGTCTGTGTTCCTCAGAGACCAAAAGCAAGATTTAATATTAACTCTTTTCCATAAGAAGTAAATAAAGGTAGATCTCTATAGCATTTCCAACTTTTATCTATTACCAACACAATTATAATGCCAAATTAAAAGGCTAAAAATCAAGCTAGGGTATATTTTCACGGAAGAATGTTTCTCAAGATAAAGGTTTGAAGCATCAATTCTTGCTAAGACCTTACCTTCCATATCTGATATAGCAGGAGTAAAAATGGAGCCAAAAATAAAAGGCTCATGAGGAAGAACAGAGACTCCCAAATTTTTGTTTTTCTATCTTTCATTTCTCCAAGCTTTTCAGCTTTAGTTGCTTCCTGCCATGTCACACCTGCTGCCACTGTGTTCTTAGTGCAGCAAATAGTGTGTCTCAAAGGATTGGTGAGAGAAAGGAATAAACTGTCACCTCATGATACTAATAGCCTGCCAGACAGCAACAGTCACAAGGTCATTTCTGAATCTGAGCTTTTAAAATAGCAGAGATCTCTAAGGTCCCTCCCACTATAAAATTCTGTGAGAAACTTAAGAATGTTACTTGAGGACAATAGACTTTTACAAAAAAAAAAAAAGAAAAATTTTTAATAAACTAAGATTCTATAATGAACACATTAATATATATTTTTGTCAGAAAAATATTTTAAATTATTAATTTTAATAATAAATATCACTGAATATGACATTTATTCAATGAATAAATGTCACTGAAGAAATGAACTAGGTAAAATTTTACCTCTTCATGATCTTTTTTACTCTCTGCTTGCAAAATTGAAGATCTGGAAGAGAAGAGATGTTTGAGTCTCAACTGTTTAAAAAAGTACTTTCAACATAATCTGAGAGAACCTTTTATCTTTAAAGGTAAAGGAATATACAAACACCAATCAATATTAAAAGGAAAAAACAAAACACAACCAACAGTATCTTAGGAAATGGAGACTACCAGAGGTAACAGGACACAAACTTCAACAACTCCAACTCTGGCTATCTATGCCAAGATGTACCAAAAAGGAAACAGGTGCTGATCCTCAGAAGACAGACCATGACAAAATTACATTTCAGTGAAGATAATGCATTTCAACACATCATATATATTTCATATATATTATGAACTTATCAAATATATTTCAAATATGCCTCAATGATCCTAATAGAAAAAACGTTGCTCCATTAATTCTCCTTTAATATTAAATCAAGTATTTTGATATATTAATCATTAAACATATTATTTTGCTTTTCTATAGATATATTATTAGAGTTAGAGAAAATAATTTCTACTAATTTTGCATCACAACAGGAATGTGAATGGGAAATCATGGTAAGCATTAAACAAAAAGTAAGCACTTATAATAAGTAACATGTTAACAAGTTGGTAATTTTGATAAATAGATACCATGATTCCCAACACCCAACATCTAGTGTGATAAATGCACACATTATTGGCATTCATTATGTTTGTAGAAGAAATGTGAAATTAACCATTTTGATAAAGGATAGTGACCTATTTTTTTTTAAGGGGGAAAGGTCAAATGTATTTATTTTTAGAATATCTTAATGTGCATAAATACAGGGGAAAATGACTTTCCGGGAACCCAGAGGCTGCTCCTGAACATTAACTTAAGAAAGTTCAAAGGTCAAAAACAGTACTTTAATTGAGTTGGGGGGGAACGGCAAATAGTCTAAACATTTATCATTAGGAAAATGTTTAAATTATAATGTATGTCCTTAAATAAATTATAGTATAGCCATTATAACATGTTTTTAACGGATGGCTGCAGATCCAAATTATAATATTTCAACTATTTTTAAAATGTACTTAGGTTAAAAATTGGAAGGCAATGGACAAAAAAGTTAATTGTTGCTTTTGGTTAATAAGACAGTAGGATTTTTTCATACTCCTTTTTATGTTTTCCATGCTTTTTGAAAATTTCCTTTAAATGCTACTTTAAAGATTCTCATTTAATGCAAAGGTAATAGAAGGCTGGGCATGGTGGCTCACACCTATAATCCCAGCACTTTGGGAGGCTAAAGCAGAAAGATTAGTTAAGTCCAGAAGTTCAAGACCAGCTGGGCAACATGATGAGACATCTCTACAGAAATTTTTTTTTAATTGCCAGGCATGGTGGCATGCACCTGTGATCCTAGCTACTTGGGATCCTTGGGTGAGAGGATCCCTTGACCCCAGGAGGTTGAGGTTACAGTGAGCCACGTTCACACCACTGCATTCTAGCCAGGGCGACACAGTAAAGACCCTGCCTCAAATAAACAAAGAAAGGTAATGGAAATTTTTAAAAATGGTATTATTATATCATTAATGGGAAAATAATCTAATCAGAAATATTTGATTAACATTTTAAAATAACAGTATTGTTAGCACCTACTATGTCAGTCACATTACATATGCTAGAATTTCTGTTCCTCACAACAGTTTACAAAGTAGGGATTACAACTCCCCCATTCACATTTTACATGAAGGAAAATGGAGCTGAAAGGGGTAAGTCTGAGGTCACACAGTAAGTAATAAATCCAAACTTTGAACTTTCTGATCCCAGGTTTAGGACTCTTTCCATTAACTTGTTCTGTCTTCTTCCATACTATGCAAGATTTTCAGTTGCAGTTCCTTAACATGAAATCACAGGTCTTTACTATATGACACAAGAAACCATAACCAAGTCAGAAACAAAAATTCAACATAATTCTACAAGATTAAAAAGCAATTTATCTCAATATATAATAAACCTAAAATGTCCATAAAATTTCTAAACAAAAAGGAATTATCCCACACTTCAGTAGTTTAAAATATTATCGATTATTAGTAGTAGAAAAAAATACTAACTTTTTTCCATCGAAAGAAGTGATCTGAAAACAGTATCGTCTGTCTTCACAGTCCACAGCCATCACTGAACAGTTGTCTATGTCCATGGCCAGGCCTCCTGCTACATCCCCACGAGCTTGACTCATCAAATTTCCACCCTGCGTGAAGTAAAACTGTCTGTCCCAGGTAGAAGACACCAAACCTGTTTTACTAAATGAAGAAACACATTCACTCTTTAATAACAACATACCTGAAATCTCATCATCAGCCAGACACAAGATAAAGCATGTTACAAAGAACTGGCTTGCAAAAAGGCACCAAGGTGCCAAGAAAATAAATATAAATATACTTTCAGTCTCTAAGATAAATTCATGTATGCTGACTCACTTTGGTGAATGTATATACAGTTTCCAAAACAAGGCTGGAAATTATAAAATTGCAGCTGTTATAATAATGCTCCATAAAATATAGGTTATAGTTCAACTTCCAAGAGAGTAAATTCAAAATAATAGAATTTATTTTATTTCCAGGGCTAACCTGCTCCATCCTATCTTCAGGTGAAAACTAACATTTTACTTGGTGGTATAATCACACATATCTTAAAGTAAGATCAATGATACTTAATAATATTCTCATGTTCTGATACAATATATGAATATTTATTTAAACTCAAATTAGTTTCACTTCTTTTTTTTTTTTGAGACAGTCTCACTCTGTCCTCCAGTGGTGTGATCTCGGCACACTGCAACCTCTGCCTCCCAGTTTCAAGTGATTCTCATGCCTCAGCCTCCCGAGTAGCTGGGATTACAGGCGTGAGCCATCATGCTCAGCTGATTTTTGTATTTTTAGTAGAGGTAGGGTGTCACCATGTTGGCCAGTCTGGTCTCAAACTTCTGACCTCAGGCGATCCGACTGCCTCGGCCTACCAAAGTCCTGGGATCACAGGTGTGAGCCATCACAGCCAGCTTTGGTTTCACTTCTTTTCTCATTCTACATTATTCAATAAATATCTAGGTAGGATTTTACTTCTGAAAAGTACTCATGTACCTCATCTGTCAAAAAGTTCACATAAATACACCTCTAAAAAGTTTAAACCTTTAGTAAAAATCAAAACAATGACAGACAACATCAATTATTTATTATTCATTTGGTATTGTCTTACATGATATACAATATACAAAAATAACAATAGTTTTCTTACTTCCTAGCATTAAGGTATCCAGCCTTTCGGGTTAAGTTTCGATTAACAGGAAATTTGGTGGGGTCTGGGTCAGGCACATATAAAGGGTCACTGGCTACTTCCAAATCCTCTATTGTCTGTTGCATGGTCTCTACATCACTGTCCATTTCCCTGCGAACACTGACAGAGACAGAATTATTTACTACAAATCACAACCAATAAGAACTTACCAATCATGTTTACCTGTATATTTGTTTCGCATGTTTTCTTAAAGAGAGGAAGAGTGACACGGGTGGTTAAAACAACACAAAGATATTTTAAAACAGGTTTACATTTTATTTGAAACTTAGATATTTTGGAAACAATATTAAATTTAAAAAACTAATGACTCCCTACTGAATGCCTGATTTTGGAGTAATTTTCAAACTGCTCTCTCCTGTGCCTTTAAAACAACAATCAATTTCATCTCTCTCCATACCACAGACTGACCACATATACTGCTCAGCATTTTGAACCTGATGAGAACTACTTTCTCTCTCTAAGCTTTCATGCCTTAGAAACAATATTTAGTAATCTCCCATCAAACTCCCACAATTTCAAGTTTAAAGATAATTTCACTTATGGAGAATTAATATTATGTGTCTGTTATACATAAAACTAAGTTTAGAATCAATAAAATTACCACTACTATGAAATTCAAAGTTCATGATTTATGGAAAAAAAGAGGTAAACAAGAAGTAACCATGAACCACATAAGAAACTCTCATGACAGGGAAAATATTCCCTCAGGAAATTAAATGGTAAATATCTTTACATTATAGTCATTTAGCTGTTAACTTATCATTCACATCATTTCATTTTCAATTTTAAGGAAAACAATACTTACTTCTGTACGCTTGTTCCAATATTAGCTAAAAATTCTTCCAGTTGTTCATTAAGATTTTCAGAACCCATCTTAAAGAAACTTATCTGGAGAGTGGGAATGGGGGAATAGAACAACACAAAAATACGTTAAACAATATATTTAAAGTAAATCATGTAAATGATCTCTAAGATACATGGTTAAGTTAAAAAAAAAAAAAAAGGAATATTCCCATTTGTGTAAAAACACATTGCAGTTTGTGACTTCCACTGCACATGGAGCCACTAAGGAAGTTAGATTTAAATTCCACTGTATATCCTTTTATATTTTTTGAATTGAACAAGTAATACATATGTATGGTTAACAATTTTTTTAATTAGAAAGTAAATTTTAAAGCATTTCCAATAAATTATATAAACTATTTCATGTTTACTATAAAGATAAGTTTTCTAGCTGAGGAATAATCAGTAAAATACTCTTTTACTTAAATATATTCAACTTTTTTTTTTCCTTTGAGACAGGGTTTCACTCTGTCATCCAGACTGCACAGTAACATCTCACTGCAGCCTCAGCCTCCTAGGAAAAATGTCCTATGATTTACTTTAAATATATTGTTTAACATATTTTTGTGTCCTTCATATGACTCAGCCTTCCAAGCTGCTGGAACCACTGAGGCATGCTACCATGCTCAGCTAATTTTTTCATTTTTTGTAGAGATGGGGTCTTCCTACATTGCTGAGGCTAGTCTCAAACTCCTGGACTGAAGTGATCCTCCTACCTTGGCCTACCCAAGTGCTTGATTATAGGCATGAGGTACCACACCTGGCCTCAAATTTCTTTAAACTCTTGATTTTTAGGAGACTGATGCTGTGTCTCATACCACCTAAAACATAAATTTTCTAGTCCCCTTCCTGATGTACACCTGTTTGAGCACTTTTGAGTTCCTCTATTAACTCAGGAAGTATGCAAAAAATATGGGATAAACTCAAACTTGTTCATTCTCTTTCAGATCTATTATGAAGCAGGTGTTTAGTTGAAGCTCCAGCAATAGGTGTAACTCTGAAATTCATTTAGCTTTCTGTTCTCAGTCCCCAGCTAAGGTGAACAAGTTGTTACTCCTAAAATATTTGAAATTTTCATTTGTAAGGAAAACCATTCTTCCTAACTTCCTTAAAATAACAGTCTGATGACATTTGTAAAAATTACTTCTTAAAACACAGACATGAACAAGGATGTTGAAAATAGTTCATAGACCAGACATGGTGGCTCACACCTGTAATCCTAGCACTATGGGAAGGTTCAGGCAGGCGGATCACCTGAGGTCAGGAGTTCGTGACCAGCACAGCCTACACAGTGAAACCCCATCTCTACTAAATATACAAAAATTAGCCAGGCCAGTGTCGCACACCTGTAATCTCAGCTATTTGGGAGGCGGAGGCCGGAGAATAGCTGGAACCTGAGAGGCGAAGCCTGCAGTGAGCCAAGATGGTACCACTACACTCCAGCCTGGGCAACAGAGTGAGACTCCACCCACTCACAAAACAAGGAAAATAGTTTATAACATCTTTACACTTAATGTAAATATCAAGCTTAATATAAAGCTTTTAGAACAGTTATAATCTAAAATACTATACAGTATTTACCTGAGCTTGCATGTATCCAAGTAGAGGTTCTAACAATGCTATTTTCTTCTTGTACTGAAGAGTATTTAATGCACAAAAATAATGCATCATGGTCTGGTGTTGTTTCTTTCTGGATGTATACACATCTTCTGTTACTTCATACTTCACCTTTGAATGAAAAGATTTAAAAAATTAAGTAAATAATGGTAAATTATCTTCTATATCTACAATTATGTATTTTATCTATAGTAGATAATTATTTGAATTATCTTCTGTAGGAGCTGTGGTGTATCACAAGTAATTGAGCATTAATGTTCCTGTTTTCTGATCTTTTAGAAATCCTTCAACATTGGTTAAGTCAATTTTCCTGTTTAACTTCCAACCACATAATTTACAAAACGCATATTGAGGCCAGGTGTGGTGGCTCATTCCTGTAATCCCAGCACTTTGGGAAGCAGAGGTGGGAAGATCACTTGAGGCCAGGAATTTGAAAACAGCCTGGTCAACATGGTGAATCCCCGCCCTACTAAAAATGGAAAAAATTAGCTGGGTGTGGTGGTGCACACCTGTAATTCCAGCTACTGGGGAGGCTGAGGCATAAGAATAGCTTCACCCTGGGAGGCGAGGTTGCAATGAGCTGAGATCACACCACTGTACTCTAGCCTGGCAAAAGAAAGAGACTGTCTCAAAAAAAAAAAAAAAAAATGCATACTGAAAACAGAATTCTGTACATAACTAAGAATGGTACAATAAATAACTCAACTACGCATGGTAGAGAAAGTTTATCACAGGGAGGAAGGGCAGACAATTGTTGGTATTAGTTTAGCCATTAATCGTTGACTTTGATCAGTTCACAGCATACCATTCTTCCCTCCTGGTTCTCTCCCTATCAGTCCTCCTCTCTTGTACCTGTTTGTCTTCCTTCACCCATATTTGAAATACGTGTGCTCACCAGAGTTCTTTTATTCAGACAACAAATATTTATTGAATACCTATTATCTAATATGCATTAGGTTCTGTCTTCCTGCTTTCCTTAGAATCCCTCATCAGGTACGAAGAATATTCTAATATTCCAATATACCAATGACTCAATGACTCACAGATTTTATCTCCTGCCTCTCACTCTCCCAAGTGACAGAGGAAACACATCTCCAGCTAGGTTCTTTACATGTGTTTGTGTGCTGAAAATGTACAAAACTGAAGATAGTTTTGTACACAAAACCTGTTCTTCTACTTTGTTTCTTAGCTCTCTTAATTACTACAGGATCCATCCAGACATCCAAGAAATCTAGGACTCATTTTTTATTCCTATAACCACTAATCTTGTCAATTCTACTTATGAAATATCTCCCAAAAGTACTCCTTCCTCTCCACTTTGAGTAACAACCTTAGCTGAGACCTTCATTATATTTTTGCAAACGATTCCAATTCCTTTCCTTGGATTCCCTCTAGTCTTGTCCTCTTCACATTTTCATCAGTATGCTTGTTCTGTAACATAACTGCATGGTGTTATTCACCTACTTAGAATCCCTGGAGGTTGCCCACTCCCTCTAACACAAATTTCAAGGTCATTAATATAGTAATCTGGTCCCAATATACTTCTTACCCTTTCTGCCATATCTCCAAACACTTCCTTTATTGACACAGAATACTCTTAACCCTTACACTATCCCAACTCTACCATGTGCCTCTGAAAGGCTGTTTTTCTTTCAGGAAAGCACTCTCTCTGATTCCAAACTGGTGTTATCCACTTATCTTCAACGTAAATGTCACCTTTTAAAAGTGTAACCTTTCCTGGCCAGGTGCAGTGGCTCATGTCTGTAATCCCAGCACTTTGGGAGGCTGAGGCGGGTAGACCACTTGAGGTCAGGAGTTCAAGACCAGCCTGGTCAACATGGTAAAACCATGTTGTATCTACCAAAATTACAAAAAATTAGGTGGGTGTGATGACACATGCCTATAATCCCAGCTACTGGGGAGGCTGAGGCAGGAGAATCACTTGACCTGAGAGGCAGAGGTTGCAGTGAGCCAAGATTGCACTGCTGCACTCCAGCCTGGGAGACAGAATGAGAGCCTGTCTCAAAAAAAAAAGTGTAACCTTTCCCAATTCACCAATCAAAGCTAACTGCTGCCCTCTCTGTGCTCTCTCAGCATTTTATTAAAACCCCTATTACTGTATTTAACAGAGTTACTCCAAGCCTTCTCGTCATCCTTGTTCTAGTCGACTTGCATGCCTTCACAAAGGAAGCCTTCGATAAATGTGGAGTATCCAGTCTTTGAGGGCAGGAATGAAGCCTACTCACATTGTTCCCCCGACATACCAAACAGACTATTGGGTATAACTAATATATTCTTGACATGTATTAGGTACTCAATGAAATTTTTAAATAAAATAAAATTGGTGAGAGAATGTTTTTTAAAATAATTTGGACAGCCAGAAGTAAGGTAAAATATATCAAATTTTATACCTAGAGACTTTAACTACTTCTCTAAGGCCAAGTGACTAATATAAATCTCAAAATGTATATATTTTATCAATATACCATTAAGTAGTCTGCAGCTAAAATTAGAAATAAAGCAAATCAGGCCGGGCGCGGTGGCTCAAGCCTGTAATCCCAGCACTTTGGGAGGCTGAGGCGGGTGGATCATGAGGTCAAGAGATCGAGACCATCCCGGTCAACATGGTGAAACCCCGTCTCTACTAAAAATACAAAAAATTAGCTGGGCATGGTGGCACGTGCCTGTAATCCCAGCTACTCAGGAGGCTGAGGCAGGAGAATTGCTTGAACCCAGGAGGCGGAGGTTGCGGTGAGCCGAGATCACGCCATTGCACTCCAGCCTGGGTAACAAGAGTGAAACTCTGCCTCAAAAAAAAAAAAAAACAAAAAACAAAAAACAAACAAACAAACAAAGAAATAAAGCAAATCTTTGTACTAAACTTTGTGTGAGAAATATTTCCTTTTGTCACAGTAGGTAATGCACAGTAAATCCTACCCAATTGTGGAATCCCACAAGCAGGTCACTGTGTCTCTACCAGCAGCTGAAGCCAAGGATGCAGACACCAACACCCAGGAAGAGAGATCACCTCAGTTACAAAAGACCTACACAATAAGCCTTGGACTAGGTGCTGGAGAAAGGCATGATCTTAAGGCATGCCCAGAAGAACCTGTTAATATTCTGTTCTCTCATCTTTACTTGAATGCATTTCTCCTCAAATACAATGTAATACTTCTGTATTTCACTCCTTGAACAAATATCAAAAAATATATATTTCTGGAAATAAGGAGGGTCTCATAACAGAATTTCATTATGTGTGTGAAAATTCTACTTTCTGACCACTCTATCTCAGAAGACATTTTTGAACATGCACATATTCAAACAGAACCAATGCCATGTCATCAAAATCCAAAGCAACAAGAGGCAATGTTATATACTGGGTATCAGTTACATTTCCAGAACAGTTATGTTTAGTTATAACACCAAATTTTGGCAGAAGAAAATATTTTGTTTAAAGAGGTCAATGATTATCAGAAAGGTTTCAAACAGCTAGAAGGAAAGAATAAGAGCAATATAACAAAACATACGAAGTAACTGATGGTTCCATTTTTTAGACCACCTAATGAATAGCTGTTAATTATGACACTGAAGGAATAAACATGTATCAAACCTTGTCATTTTCTCTTTTTTTTGACAATCGACTGTATCTATTAATTGCAGCATCATGATCTGGAAAAAAGAAACAAGTGACAATACAATAATAATTTTCAAAACTTACAAATGCTTTAAATGGTCTTCTCATGTGCATCTTTAAAAAAAAAGTACTAAAGCAAGAATTTCCTACCACACGATCACTGCACTTAAATTTTCCTCGCAGCCAAATTTCCCCTAAATTATGTGTCCACTTATCAAATTCAGTTTTTTAAAAAAATTAATTCTAAGGAAACTGCAATGTACTAAAGTTTTATAAAGCATTTTTTAATAAGAAAATAGCAAACGCAGCTTAAACACAGTGGCACGTGCCAATAGTCCGAACTACTCAGGAGGATGGGGCAGGAGGATCACTGCAGTATGCTACGATTGTGGCTTGAATAGCCACTGCACTCAAACCTGGGCAATGGAGCAAGACCCCATATCTTAAAATATATACGTACATAACACTCATTAAAGAAAAATGGGAATATATAAAAGAACAAGAAAGGTAAAATATTACACCACCTCTTTAGGTATTATGAAGCTAGTAGCCTATAAGACTTAATTTCCTTAAGATTTTTCTCATAGCAGCAACAGTGTAATTTAAGCAGCAATACTGATTTAAGTAATGTTCAATTATCTTTAATTGGGTTCTCTTTTTTTTCAATTATTACAGAGTCTGGCCACAGATATGCACTGATAAATAAATACATCACTGCAAGAAATAAGTGTGCAAATTACAGGGCTTACCATTACTTGCAATCTGAAATACTTCCTTTAACGTTAGTATTTCTGAAAAAGTTCAAGAATAATTTAAGTTTGGCATACTTACGCAATACAACTGTTTGGAAAACAATAACTGCCACTTAAACTATAATTAAAATTCCAAATAATATTTCATACTTCAACATTCAAGGTGAAAAAACTACTCTGTGTTTCAGCTAGTCTAAGGAACACTTACAATCATTAGTAACAGAAAATCTACTTGCTACAAATCTACTTTGTTCAGTGATATGACACAAAAACACATTTCAGAAACCCACTATAAATGGTAACATATGCAAATATTCTGATTTAGTGCCAGAATCTTGCATTCTTGATATATGAATCTAAACACTGAACTGCTACACAAGAAACAAAATATCTTATTAATAAGATTATGTCATTCAGTCCCCTTACATTACATTACAAGAAAAGAGATCTTATTCTAGACCTTAGAAATGACCATTCTTGAGGATCAAAGCCACAGTTAGTAACTCCATCTTTAAAAAACATTAGAGATGTATTGGAGACTGAGTAAAGGTGGCACAGGTTGCAGTCCAGAAATGGTGTAGGTACAGAATAGTAGTATAATATGCATTTGTCTGTATTCTATGTATAATTTAAATACTTTACCATTCCCTGATACATTAGTTCAGTATTTTTAATCTGTCTACATATTTTGGAAATAAGTCTGTATGACTGAGATTTGAAGTTATAGGAAAGCAGAACGAATTCTATAAAACTCTCATTGTATCACCTAGTAAGCCTAAATGGGTGAAAATAAAACCCACAAACTACTAGGTTGCAGATTATTAGATGTGCCAGTGCCCCTACCTCTTGCCACTTCAGGCCATACACACACCTCTATACCCTGTGCCACTATCCTAAACCAGGCCTTGGTCATATCTCACTGGACTCCCAAAACTTACCAGTCTAGTCTCCTACATAACAAGGCCACTCTATTCCATCCTTCAAAGGAACTGTGTCTCTCCTTAAAGACCCCCACTGGCTTCGCCTTTGCTCATAAACTCAAGTCTAGCCTCTTAGCATGACCTACTCCCACTACTCTATTTCTGGATTCATCTCCTGCCTCACTCTAACACAGCCAGCATTACAGCCATACTGAGTTTCTTCGTACTGTCAAAATAGGCAGTGTTATTTCTACAAGCCATACCCTGTGCACTCTAGTCCCTCTAACAGAACAATGACTCTTCCCCTGGCAAACCTCTCTTCACTGTTCAATGCTCATGACACATCCTTGGGTGAAGCCTTGCTGAGCCCCTCCTAACAGCCCCAACAGCACCTTGCTCATTCCCTAATTATAAGAGATATAAGTGTTGTAATTATGTGTGTGCCTACTTCCTTCTCTAGAATTTCTTGAAAGAGGGGATCTCTTATCTATAACAGTATTTCTCAATATCTAGTTTGACATTTAGCAGGAGCTGCTATAAATGTTTGGTAACTGAGCAAAGTAAGAGTGGCACAGGTTGTGGTCCAGAAATGGTATAGGTATAGAGTAATATGCATTTTACAAGCACTGATCTCACAGCCAATGAAAGTAAACATAAGCGACGTCAATACCTTTCAGATCTCTTTCTTTAAACTGGGTAATGGGGAACATCATGGCATCAGCAAGTTGAGTTGAAAGTACTGCATGGCAAGAGCTAAGCTAGAAAAAGAAAGACCAAAAAGGCCAAATAACTATATACAGACATTTAACCAGTGTTGTATAAATTAAACAGAATCTAATACAAAAGGTTTTGATACATTTTACATTAAAAAAACACTAAAAATTATGTGATATAGTACCAAATATGATAGAGTCAAAAAAAATTCCATCTACCAAACTCTTAGAAAACATAGAATGACCTTGGATTTGGTAATAGTTTCTTGCATATGACACTAAAAGCACAAGAAACAAAAGAAAATATATAATAGACATTATCAACATTTAAAACTTCTATGCATTAAACCACACCATCAAGAAAGTGAAAAAAAAAAGTTCAGAATGGGAGAAAATATTAAAATATTTGCCAATTACGTAACCGATAAAGAACTTGTATCCAGAACAGAGAATGTTTACAACTCAATAATAAAAAGACAACCTAAGTTAAAAATAGGCAAAGGATCTGAGTAACTTCTTGAAAGATAAACAAATGACCAATAAGCACATGAAAAGGTGCTCAAGATCATTAGACATCAAGAAAATGCAAATCAAAACCACATGAGATACCACTTCACACTCACTCAGATGGCTATAATTTTTTTAAACAATTTAAATACACGTAAACAAAATAATTGTTAGTGAGGATGTGGAAAACTGGAACCCTCCTATATTGCTGGTAGGAATGTAAAATGGTGCAGGCACTATAGAAAACAGTTTGGCGGTTTTCTACAATTATTTAACTTTTAAATAAACATAAAATTACCAGGCAATGACCCAACAATCCCATTCCTGGGTAACTACTCAAAAGAAGTGAAAACTGTTGTTTTAAAAAAAAAAAAAAAAAAAAAAACCTGTATATGAATGCTCATAACAACATTATTTGAACTAGTTAAAAGGTAGAAACAACACAAATAAACAATGACTAGATAAACAGATACAGAGATATATAAAGAGATGACTAAATAAACAAAATATGGTATATCCATAACAATGAAACTTTATTTAGCCAAAAAAGGAATAAAGTACTGAGGCATATTACAACATGAATGAACCTTGAACACGTTATGCTAAGTGAAAGCAGACATTAAAAAGTCTACAAATTATGAGTCCATTTATATAAAATATCAAAAATAGGCAAATTCATAGAGAAAGAAAGCAGATTAGTGGTTGACAAGGGCTGAGGGAGCAGGGAGGTGGAAGTGACTGCTTGATATGGTTTGGCTGTGTCCCCAACCAAATCTCATCTTCAATTGTAGCTCCCATAATTCCCATGTGCTGTGGGAGGGAGCCAGTGGGAGATAACTGAATCATGGGGGCAGTTTCCCCCATATGGTTCTCGTGGTAGTGAATAAGTCTCAGGAGATCTGATGATTTTATAAGGGATTTCCCCTTTCACTTGTCTTTCACTCTCTCATCTGTCACCATGTAAGATATGCCTTTACCTTCTGCCATGATTGTGAGGCCTCCCCAGTCACAAGGAACTGTGAGTCCATTAAACCTCTCTTTCTTTATAAATTACCCAGGCTCAAGTATGTCTTTATCATCAGTGTGAAAATAAACTAACACACTGCTTAATGGGCACAAGGCTTCCTGTGAGATGATGAAAAACCAGATGGTGGTTATGGTTGCAGAGCACTGTGAATGTACTAAACGTCATCAATGGCAAATTTTATGCCATGTATATTTTACCACAAATTTTTTTAATGAAAAAAATTATTTCCTTATCTTGATTTCCTGTTATAATATTTCAAAAAAATTACTTTTCTAGTTAAAATTCTAGAAAATGCAGGACTATCTAACGGTCCATGTGAAAAGAAGAGGTTTTACTGCAACAGTAGAGAACAGTTATTGATTCTCCACATTAACTCATTACCTTTTATTCCTCTTAGACTTTAGGTCTTTGTTTTAATGATCTGTTGTGATGACTGAGAAATTTAGGGTTGATTTTGGCTGTGTAGCAGGGCAGGATTAATAAAGACTAAACAGTATAATCTTGCTTTATAGCAGAAGAGCAACCACAAAGAACCCAGATGGAGCTCACAACCTAACTCTTCTCTCCCTGCCTACATCAAATGACACATGTCAAGGTTAAATGGACTACATGTAGAAGAAGCACATTTATATGTTTACTCCTGGCAAACAATGTTTTAATCAGAGAAAGAAAGTATTGTTTAATAAGCTAGCCACCAGGATGTAGAAGTAAGGCTATTCTTTAGTCATCTTTGTAATTGAGTTTTTACTCATAAATAAAAGCTAAATTGGGTTTACTGTAAGACCATTTAATCAAGCAAAATAAAATAAATGCTTACCTCATCTATAACTTTTGAAAACTGTTGCAATGTAGAGCTCATAACTTCATCATCACCTCCCAGTGGAAAACGCTGAAAAGTGAGAAACAGAGATGAGGTAAAGTTTCAATGTTGTGTCTTTTGAGGATTACATTACTATACTTTACATTTTTAAATAACTTCAGAAAATGTCTAATATTTTGAATAAGTTCTAAAATATCATTTAACTAAAACTGTGTAATATATATAATTAATAAACATTAATTAAAATGTTTGTTAAGTAACCAATTGACATGGCAAAATGGAATACCCACCGAATTGGGAGTTCAAAGATTTAGCATTTAGCTCCAGTTCCTCCAACACAGTGTCATGTTGAGCAAGTCACAACTTCTTCATTTGTAAAAGAAAATCGGTAAACTAGACAGCCTCTGTATTTAATATTAAATTATTAAAATTATCTCAACATAAATGCTGTCATGAAATTTCAAAGGGATATTCTGTGAATTCAAGAAAACTTTAAGGATTCTTGATGAAAGTCTATCTTTCTATACAGATGCTGTACTTTTAAAATTATGCTTTTAAACTGACATACAATACCTGTTTTTCATATTCTTTTAAAAGTTTTGAGGTCAGGTGTGTTGCTGCACTTAATTCATTCTATGGAAAAAGCATTCAAATTAGCATATTAGTAAGAAAAAGTTTTAGTTGAATATACCTAATTTATTTATTATCACTTTACATAAATATTCTACATGTTTTTTAAAACCTTCATTAAATCACTGGAAACAGGTACTACCATTAAAGCACTTTAAAACTCAAAACATAAAATAGACACTGTCAAGGAATTCAGCAGTGTTCCTTATGTTGTTGTTGTTGTTGTTGTTGTTGTTGTTGTTGTTGCTAATAAAAACTAAGCATTAAATATTTTAAAGCCTAGAGATAAACTGACGTAATCTTAGCAAAATCTTTGGAGAGTCTACGTTCATGACTGATTATCCCTATCTGTAGGTGCTGATACTAGACTACAGTAAGCACTTAATAACATGCAACCAAAATGTGGTTGATATAGTCATACAGCATAGCAACACAGCCATATGAAAAACTTTCAGTTTTTTTTACTGGTGAATATAACAAACATAACATTTATTTAACATATTAATCACATATCTCTGTGGTCAGAAAGCAAAGCTTCAGAGCCCTATCATAAGGAAAAACTAAACAACAACATAACAACTCTTAAGTACGTAATGAAAACATGAATTAAGAAAGCAAAGAATATGAAAAGGGAAAAAAATAAAATTTGTACACTTAATCCCAAAGAAAGTTTAACACAGAACCTAGGTTGCTGTTTAAGCTTATAATTAAGTAATCCAAACACAGCTTCAAATTTTATGCCTGGTCAACAAGAAAACCTAGTCATACCCTTCATGTTCTTGTACTCCAGAGCTGCATCTAAAGGTAGACTACTTTCAAATCCTCTACTCAAAAAGGGTAAGTGTTGGCTGGGTGTGATGGCTCACTCCTGTAATCCCAGCACTTTGGGAGGCTAAGGTGGGCAGATAACCTAAGGTCAGGAGTTCGAAACCAGCCTGTCCAACATGGTGAAACCCGTCTCCACTAAAAATACAAAATTAGCCAGGCGCAGTGGCACACACCTGTAGTCCCAGCTACTCAGAGGCTGAGACAGCAGAATTGCTTGACCTGGGAGGTGGAGGTTGCGGTGAGCCAAGATTGCGCCATCATACTCCAGCCTGGACAAGAACGAAAGTACCTCTCTCAAAAAAAAAAAAAAAAAAAAAAAAAAAAAAAAAAGCGGGGCAGGGCGGCGGGGGACAGGAATAGTTCCATAAGATTGTAATAAGCATGATTATGGAAAATATGGTGATGATATGAGATCTTCATTCAAACCTTAGGAAAGATCACTATCAGAGTTTCATGAGGGTAGTTTCCCCCATACTGTGTTTGGAGAGAATGGGCAGATGCTTCAATCTTCCATCACTTTTCCAGTGCTACATACTATACCCTAGCAATTGAAATGTGAGTTCCGTAATACACTTAATAGTCATTCATCCATTCAAAAAATATTTATTACTAGGAACCTAGTACAGGGCTAAGCACTGGTAAACAAGATAGACACTATCTCTCTCTTCATGGGGCTTAAAGATTCACGTTTTAAAAGTATCAAGTTAGTCCTTAGCTTTTTACCTGTGCATCATAAATCCGATGCATAGCTTGATACAACTGGTTCATATAGTTGGAAATAGCTGTGGCATCTTCTTCAAATACACCAAGTAAAGACCTTGTCTGTATAAAGTAATAGCAATAAGTTTATGTTAACCATTACACAAAAATCAGATGGCAAAATATTTCTTTTAAAGTAAGCAAAAATCTTAAAAGATATTAAAGCTCTAGCAATTCTGAGTTTTAATCTATTTTCTCTCTTTTGATAGTAATGTTAAGAAGTCAGAGTTTTTTAGTTCTCAGTTTCAGTTCAACAAAGCAGAGGTATTTTCCAACTATGTCACACAAACTTTAGGAGGAATAAGAGGTATACTTTCAGAAACTAAAAATTCTATAAACTAAAAACAAATCAACAGAAACATTCAAAGCTAAATTAACACCATTCCTTGTAGTATAAATATTTAAAACATCTTATTTCAAGATAATTTAGTATGATTATTTCTTTTCTTCTACAGGTTTTTCTAGAAGAGGCCAAACCCCTCCCTGTCCTAATCTAAAATATCACAGTAAACCCTCCCCAACATGACCAACTCTTGAGCCTATAAAAAGCTAACTTGGTTTTTCTGAATGCAGAATTTGGGGTTTTCCTTTCTTCTTCTATATACGTGTCTATGTTGTTTGGCTTTTATTTTGTTTTGCATTTTTCTACTATGCACATTTAAAAATTATCTTCATTTTAGACTGGGCACAGTGGCTCACGCCTGTAATCCCAGCACTCTGGGGGGCTGAGCTGGGCAGACAAGGTCAGTAGTTCAAGACCAGCCTGGCTAACTCGGGAAAACCCCGTCTCTACTAAAAATACAAAAAATTAGCCAGGTGTGGTGGCACATGCCTGTAGTCCCAGCTACTCAGGAGGCTGAGGCAGGAGAACCACTTGAACCCAAGAGGTGGAGGCTGCAGTGAGCCAAGATCACGCCACTGCACCCCAGCCAGGGCCACAGAGTGAGACACCATATTAAAAAAAAAAAAAATTATCTTCATATTTAAGGGGAAAGCTTATAAGTAAATGTTAAGAATGTCAATAAAAATTTATCAAAGATAAGGAAACCAAGGCTATAAAAGGCAAGAAAGACATACTCATATTACATTCCAAGGGCAGGGGAAAAATGAAAATACCAACAACTACTAGCAGTAACTATAGCTTAAAATCTAAAAGATGACTTTGTATTTTTATTCTAAAAATAATTTATGCCTCAGCCTTATAAACTGTTGTTGCTGTCGTTATTGTTTGAGACAGGGTCTCCTTCTTTCTCCCAGGCTGGAGTGCAGTAATATGATCTCGGCTCACTGCAGCCTTGACCTTCCAGGTTCAAACAATCCTCCCGCCTCAGCCTTCCAGGTAGCTGGAACTATAGACATGTACCACCATGTCTGGCTACTTTTTCTCTATTTTTTGTAGCGGCAGGGTCTCACTATGTTGCCCAGTCTGGTCTCAAACTCCTGGGCTCAAGCAATCCTCCTACCTTGGCCTCCCAAAGTGCTGGGATTGCAGGTCAGGTGTGAGCCCCCGCACATGGCCAGAAATTTTTTTTTTTTTTAGATGGAGCCTCACTTTTGTTGCTCAGGCTGGAGTGCAATGGCATGATCTTGGCTCACCTCAACCTCTGCCTTGCAGATTCAAGCAATTCTCTTGCCTCAGCCTCCCAAGAAGATGGGATTACATGCACGTGCTACCACACCCAGCTAATTTTGTGTTTTTAATAGAGAAGGGGTTTCTCCATGCTGGTCAGGCTGGTCTCGAACTCCCAACCTCAGGTGATCCACCCGCCTCGGCCTCCCAAAGTGCTGGGATTACAGGTGTGAGCCACCGCGCCAGGCCCTTTTTTTAAAAAAAAAAAAAATCAACTTATTCCTTAGCTTCCCATCTTGAGAGGAGAAAGCTAAGTTAATATGGTATAAAGGAGAGGAAAAGGCACAAGATCATTATGCCAGCAAGTCCCTATTTTCTGTCCTCTACTTCCCCAGGCCTCAGAGATTTGGATTTAACAGAATCTTTTTCAAATACTCCACTACAATTCCCCATTGTGCTATTTTAAGATGTAAAAAAGAAAGCATCAGGTAATCTTGCCTGGCTACTGACATGCTTAAGAAAAATCTGCTATTTTATTTATTTTTTTTCTAAAAATGGGTAATTCCAATTCAAGGAGTTACATATTTATGTAAAAACTTGTAGCAGAATTAAATTTAAAAGCTCTTCTTAGCTCAAACAAGGTTGAAACAGATTCCCCATTTTAAGTTAACAATATCAAGTTCAACATTGGATAATTATTATTTAAAGTTGGCAGTTTAGAAATACAGAATCAATATGGTACCATGTCATTTAATCTATAATGGTATCCATTGTAAGATGCATCATTTTTATTTTTGTAGTACTCAAACAAAATAATGCTGGCAATTAAGCTGTAATTTAAGGTTTTCTTGTCTTGAATTTTTTACCTTCACACAGAATTTTATCATATACAGCTCTCATGTGAACATAAGAAATATAAGCATCACACATTTATTTCTAAAACTTCAGAGTTCAAATCTTATTCGACTCACTCATCGATATCCATGTTTTCCTATACATTATTATTCTCTGTGACATGAGGAGATAAGTATTTCTTATTTATTTATTTATTTATTTATTTATTTAGAGTGCAGGTTGGAGTGCAATGGCGCGATCTCGGCTCACCGCAACCTCCGCCTCCTGGGTTCAGGCAATTCTCCTGCCTCAGCCTCCTGAGTAGCTGGGATTACAGGCACGCACCACCATGCCCAGCTACTTTTTTTTTGTATTTTTAGTAGAGCTGGGATTTCACCATGTTGACCAGGATGGTCTCAGTCTCTTGACCTCATGATCCACCTGCCTCGGCCTCCCAAAGTGCTGGGATTACAGGCTTGAGCCACGGCGCCCGGCCCTGGAGATAAGTATTTCTTGATGTGCTCCATTTTTGTCCCTAAACACTCATTCAGCAAGTTTTGATGTCATCTGACGTCTCATCAGGTATCAAAGGAAGGTTTTCAGACAACAACCAGGACTGATATTCCTTCCTCAAATGGTGGTAAAATTGATTTGTTAGTTTAACACTGAGAGCCTACACTTGGCCAGCATGCTACTAGGAGAAACAACCAAGTATGTACATTGGCAGGCAATGTGAAATACATTACTACTGCTACCTGGCTGACAGCAATTGTTAATATACCATCAACTATAAGAAGAATCCCAATCAGAAACATTAAAATGTTAGGGAGAAAGGAACATCTCATAATTTATGAGTATTTCATATTATACAGAGGAAGAAGATTCCCTTTGGGAACAGGGGTTTGTCTTCACTGTTCTGTCACAGATGAATCATTAAGATACACATCCATACATAAAACCATTATTTTTTTAAACATCATCTGTTTTTAGTAATTAACAAGGTTTATTTTGATTTTAATTTTCAAAACAACATATAAATATGGACAAGGCATCTAGTATAAGCTTAAGATTTTCTGGCTCAACGGATCATCTTCTGCAGGATTGTGTGGTTTGGGCAAGATAATTCCAAAGACGCTTTTTTCCCCCCAGATTCCAGGCAGTATCCTTAAAAGATGCTTGATCAGCTGGATTTTGGACTTGCAAATTCTCCCTAATTTAGTAACTAGTTACTATAAATCAAAACTAAAAGAAAGATAACTGTAATTTAAGATACTCTTCCATCACTCCTAGGCGCTTTTTTTTTTTTTTTTTTTTTTCTTTTTTTGAGGCAAAGCCTCATTCTATTGCCCAGGCTGGAGTGCAATGGTGTGCTCACAGCTCACTGCAGCCATGGACTCCTGGACTCAATCAATCCTCCTGCCTTAGCCTCCTCAATAGCTGGAACCATAGGCTCCTACCACCATGCCCAGCTAATTTTATTTTTTGTAGAAATGAGGTCTTGCTATATTGCCCAGGCTGGTCTTGAACTCCCAGCCTCAAGTGTTCACAAGCATGACCCACTGGGGCTGGTCAAGGCTCTAACTTTTTTATGTAACAACTGGCAGGCCTCTTTTGATTAGATCTAAATAATCTAAAAAAGTAAAAAACTGATCAAATAAAAAACTTTTGGGCCTGGCACAGTGGCTCGCATCTGTAATCCCAGCACTTCGAGACTCTAAGGTGGGAGGAACCCTTGAGGCCAGGAGTACAAGACTAGCCTGGCCAACATAGTGAGACCCTGTCTCTACAAAAATTTCTTTCGTTGGGCTACTTGGGAGGCTGAGACAGGAGAATCACTTGAACCCAGGAGGCGGAGGTTGCAGTGAGCCAAGATCACGCCACTGCACTCCAGCCTGGGCAACAAGAGAAAAACTCCATCTTCAAAATAAAATAAAATAAAATAAAATTAGCTGGGCTTAGTGGGGTGTGCCCAGGAGCCTGAGGTTGCTGATCCATGGCTGCACCACTGCAGTCTAACCTAGGCGACAGAGTGAGACTCGGTCTCAAAAAAACCCCAAAAACTTACCAGTTTTTTAAAGTCTTCATATTCTTTGCTGCTCTACTTCTTGGACTCTACTGTAGATAAAATAGTTCAAACTGAGAAGAAAATTCATGGCCCAAAGCATTAATCTAAGCCCTATTTATAAAATTCAAACTTTGAGAAAACTCTAAAAGTCCAGCAATGGGTTGTGAAATCAGTTAAGAAAATGCGTAGTCGCCGGGCATGGTGGCTCACACCTGTAATCCAAGCACTTTGGAGGCCAAGGCAGGCGGATCACCTGAGGTCGGGTGAAACAAGCAACTATTATTTTTCATAATCAGGGTCAAAAATAAAAACATGCCATTAAGGCACAACAGCTAAGGCTCTGAGAAGTTGAGTGATTTGTTCTAAAGCAGAAGGTAATAAGTGGCCGTGATGAGTAAAAACTACCTCAATCCTAAATCCAAGGCTTTTCATTCTGCCACAGGTTCAACCTAAGAATCACCTCCAAGTATCTTCACTTTCTAAACCCCAGTTGTCCCAGTTAAGTTTCCCAAGTAAATTTTACCTAGTTCAAACTTACTGTCTTTAAACACTGAAGGAATATCAATGTGGCTACTTCATCAAAAATTAGCTGTCACAGTGTCGCATGCCTGTAGTTCCAGCTGCTAGGGAGGCTGAGGCAGGAGGACTGATTAAGCACAGGGGTTCCAGGGTGTAGTGCACTATGATAATGTCTGTGAACAGCCATTGCTCTCCAGCCTAGGCAACACAGCAAGACCCCTACCTCAAAAAAACAAACAACAAATATACTGTGAAACTGACACTAGTATGACACATGCTTGCCAAAACACACACACACACACACACACACACACACACAATTCTTAAGTTGTAAACTAATCTGTATAAAAAACTCAAGAAATCAGATGAGTCAAGAGTTTGTCTCTGCTTCACAAGTCATATCTAGGGCAATGCGCAATCCATTCTGAGCCATTTATAGTCTTTATGGGCTATTAAAAAAAAAAAAAGCCAGATAAGAGAAGACAACCTGTTGAATCTCACATAATAAAAAGTAAAACAACAAAGTTCACCTGACCAATTCCACAAGCTTTCTGCCAATCATCTGAAACAAATATAGTATAACTTTATATGGAGAAATCACCAAGAAAAATTGAACTGGGTATACTGGCAATCAAGATAAACCAAATGTGAGTGTCTCTTTTTGTCAGTATAGGCTGATAAGAGTACATTAGCAGCAGGCAACTGGCCTGTGAAGATAGCTTTCAGAATGAAAAGGAACAAATCAATTCTACAATCAGAGCTCCATTTCAACTTGGCAATTAACACTAGCACGAAATCCAAGGCAGAAGTGTCAACCAGGAAAGGGAAATCTAGACCTCTTCTGCTTTTCTTCTTTGGAGGCCATGATCAACTGTAAAGACACATGAAGTAGGAGCAACTGCATTTCTAAATGAGCAATAATTCAGAAATGTTTCATTGTAAATGGTGTCCAACCAGCAACACCGTGTTAAACCGTTTAATTACCGTGTAAAAAGACAGGCTTAGAAATGAAGTCTTCCCCATGCAAGTCACATCCCCTGACAACATTTTTAAAAGTATAGCTGATCTATTTCATTCTTCAGTACTGAAAAAATATCATATCGTTACATTTTCCAAAACTCTCTTAAGCTAGAGCAACCACACCAGCATCATTCCGACACGGAGAACACAGGGCTTTTATTTTGATGAGTTTATTAAGGCCAAGTCTGCAGGGAGCGGCGCAGCAGTCGAGGATCGAAGGCACCTTCCACCACTCGCCGCGTAAGCTCGAGTAACAGCGACCACACTCACGGCCGCGACACGGGCACACTCGGCGGGGCTGAGCGGTCTTGGGCTCCGGAACCCGTCACAGGCTTTGCCGTTAAGTAGCCACACACAGCCTTTCAACCTCTCCCGACGAAAAACGATCCATGCCCTTCCCTAGCTTGCTGAGCCTTGGAAATCATTAAATAAAGCTACCAGGGTTTCTCTCCCTTCTGCACTGCTCGGGGAGAAAATTCCAGGATCGAGATTCAGCACCTCACATCGCGGCGATACAAACGGCGCCTTTCGTCAAATAAAAAGCAGACCCGCGCGCGTACGTGACGCCGGGCCCACGAGCACCAGCGGCTCGGTCTCCGCCCGCGGCCCTCGGCCCAGCGGAGCAGGCCCACGCGGGCCTCGGGCGGCGGGCCCAGCCTCGACAGCTCCGGGTGCGGCCTGCGACGGGCGGGGGCCCCGGGCGGCGGCGGCGGCGCCCACCTGGGCCGGGGCGGGCACCTGCGGGAGCGGCACAGGCGCCAGGCCTGGGGTCGGCCAGCCCGGCTCTCCCTCGTCGCCCACCAGCGCCCGCGCCTCACCTGCGGGCTGTCCTCCAGCGTCTCCTCGATGGGCAGCTTGTCTATCCCCGGCATCGTGGCGGAGGGAGGGCGGCGGCAGGGCACGCAGCGGCCGCCCACAGCTCCCCGCGCCCGCCCGCCCGCAGCAGCTGACCCCGACCCGCCCTCTTCTCTAGGCGCCGGGCGGCCGTGCGGGAAATCCCGCCCCCTCAGCCTCCCTGCCCCGCCTCTCGGCGCGTCCATTGGCTCGCGGGGACGCCCATCGGCGCTGCGGCGTTGGCGTTGGTTCGGAGGTTCCCGTGCGGCGCCAGTCTCTCCCGCGAGCGCGGGCGTCGGAAGCGGCGGAGGTGGTGGTGTCTGCACTGGGCTGGCCTTCCCTGCGCGCCTGCATTTGTATCTAAATCGTAGGGGACGGTCTCTTCCCCAGCTTGCCGACGCAGGGAACCGGAGCCTCGACTGAGGGCCACGCCGGGGAATTTGGAGCGGGTTGACTTTTCCGGCAACATTTTCCTGCAGAGACCTTGAAAAAAGGTCCCTACTGCTGGCGCCTTGTGGTTCCCTCAGATGGTGACCTTCCCAACTCCGCTCGAAGCATCCAGTCTTAATCCCCTCCGGCAGAACGGTGCTGACCAACTCGCGTATCTGAGATCCGAAGTTGTCTCAGTAACAGGGCTTTCTGGCAAACTTGTGAACAGTCAGCTCGAAATTATGTTTTTGGACACTTGAATATCGGTATATTCCGTTGAAAACATACGACTTAGTTTGGCCAGTCTATCAGTTCCTACCTGGCTTCTCAAGGTCAGTCCTTCGGGACTGACGCTGCAACTCCAACAAATCGCAAAGGGAAACAGCTTTTAAAAATCAGGATACACTGTTAATTATGTTGGTAACTGATTGGCATTTCTGTTTCATCGAAAAGTTTTGGAAGAGGCTTTAAATGGGTTTAGCCTCTAATTTTACAATAAAATGAAGCTCTAAATTGAGAATTCGACCGGATGAAGGCTACAAGCCCATCCCTTCCTCTTACCTCTTCATCTTTCCCAGTCTCGCAGCCTGGCTCCTTTATGTCTCTGTAAAGTTACAGGCTTTCATCAGTATACACAGAAAATAGCAAAATAGCTAGGGTCTTCTAAACATCTAGCCATTAATTGCACCAATCCATTCCATTTTCATTCAAGAAATAGCAGAGATGCTGAGTAAAAATTATTAGGGGCCTGGTTCCACAGATGCATGGGAACAAATCCAGAATAGTAGTAGCACAAATCCAAATATAGTAACAAATAGAAGTTACATGTTTTAAACGAAGATAGTAGATTTTCCTATGGTCTATCTAAGGAAAGATAAAATTATATTTTTAAAGTTTTGTCGGGTAGACTTGCATTGTAGTTTTACAGAATTATTTTTACTGTTACAGTCTTTAAAAGCTCTCCCCTTAGATTGTCTATCAACTAGTCGCTCTCTGGAAGAGTTCTTTAGTTTTTGAGGAAGTTAGTTTGGAGTCAGTTCTTACAATGAGTTAAGGGTTCCCAGTTGTATTATAGGCTCTTTTTCCTTGATATCTCATTTCTACTCTACGAGCAAGAACACCATGCATCCTAGCTCTAAAGAAGGAAGACTTTCAAGGTAACTGACCTTCCTGACTGAACTGAGTTAGATTTTAAATGAAGGAGAACAAAGGTAGTGACAACTGATAAGAATCAGGAGTAAAGGAAGGATGTAAACAAAGTATAAGAAAAAAAAAGTTGGGGCACTGTGGCTCAGGCCTGTAATCCCAGCACTTTGTGAGGCCATGGCAGGTGGATCACCTGAGGTCGGGAGTTTGAGACCAGCCTGGCTAATGTGGCAAAACCCCATCTCTACTAAAAATACAAAAATTAGCCGGACATGGTGACGCACCTGTAGTCTCAGCTACTCTGGCAGCTGAGGCAGGAGAATTGCTTCAACCTGGGAGACAGAGGTTGCAGTGAGCTGAGATTACAAGACTGCACTCCAGCCTGGGCGATGGAGCAAGACTTCGTCTCAAAAAAAAAAAAAAAAAAGAAAAGCACTTGTTACCCAATTAACTTGGCCAAACCAAATAATTACAATGAAAAATGTTATTAGGTATCTGAATTATCTGGGTGTGATATTATCAAGTTAAATGATTTCATTTTTAGGATGTTATGTACAAATAAAACTGTGTTTCTGTAAAGGATTCTCAAGAGACCATTACATTATCGCAGAATGGCAAGGAATTCTGGTTATAAAATAACAAAAAAACAGGTTTACATTCAATTGGGTGGAGAGGTAGGTTTAGTCAAATCTAGTTTTAACCTATTTGGACTAGAATCCAGTTTTAACCTTCTATTTGGATTCTCTAGCGTTAGGTCACTATACCCTGCTGATCCAAAAATGTGGTTGTATTTCCTAGGTTAAAACATCTCCAAAGCTGCAGAATTCACAGTCCTTTTTGATAACTGTGGATAACACCTCCCAGGGGCACAGAGGAAGGAGAACTGTCCAGACCCCAAACACAATTAGTGCCTGAAGAATATCTTATAGTGTTATTACTCAGCTATTTCCTTTATATAATCCTTTAAATATGATCATATATTAGTTTATAGAATTAGTACCTGAAGTATAACTTACACCTTACATATATCCAGCTTATATGATCATACTTAATACTTATATCTAGAACTTGTACTTAGTTCTATATAATCTTTCTATATAATCATATAGGTATTATAGTCAGAGCTGTACTGACACGTTTAGTGCTGATTTATAGAACCCCTCTATATAACCATATAGTAGTTTGTAGTAGGAGGAATGCCTAGGGCAGTCACAGATCAGAAGCAGTACATGGGAAAACAGCTAGACCAGGACAAGAACCAAAGACCCAGCCGGTGGCGTCCCTGCCTGAAAGGACATACGCTGTATGGCAGGCTTGGAGCAAGAGCCTCTCCTCCTGATAAAGGAGTTGGAGTACCTTGCATCCAGTTCCTGTGGAAAGTAGGCCTCAGGCCTGAGATCCTGGAAGTAACCGCGGGAGAAGAACCCCTCTGGTCTGACCAGTCACAGTGGCTGTACACCCTGTCAGTCTTTTCTCACTTCTGTGCTAGTGCAAATCATCTTCCCATAAATATCTTAAGAGCACAAGTTTGTCAGTTCCCACTGCATTGGCTTACAGTATTCTGCCATTAGAACTCTTGAAGTCTCCAGCCCCCAGATAAGAAGTGTTTCGCACGACACCTATTGCACATAGCCCACCTCCTTGCCTTGGTGACCTAATGGAGGTGGACCCTTTTTCTCTACACGACCCCCTACTACTGCACATGGCATGCCCCTACTGCACAGGGCCCACCTCTGTCTGTGACATAATGGGGTGGCCCCCTTGCTTGTGACTCACGTGATTATGTATGCCCTATTACTAAGCCTATAGATGATGACCTCACTCACGACCCTGCTTCTGGGGTCGTGATAATACAGATGCTTCTGGGCATTTGGGGCTCTCGCTGACCTCCACTCAGGGGTGGCGTGGCCCCCCGAGTCCAGATACTCTTCACCATTTCTTCAGTGTCCTGTCTCTTTGCTTCTCGGATCCTGCACCTCAGCACAGCATAAAGGACACCCCATGACCCTGCAGGGCCCCACGGCCCTATAGATAACCGGTTTAAGTTTAATCAGCCTAAGTTTTGTACAGTTAACCAAACTCAGTTCATTTCTTTTTTTTTTTTTTTTTTGAGACGGAATCTTGCTCTGTCACCAGGCTGGAGTGCAGCAGCGGATCTTGACTCACTGCAATCTCTGCCTCCCAGCTTCAAGCGATTCTCCTGCCTTAGCCTCCCGAGTGGCTGGGACTACATGTGCACGCTACCACGCTTGGCTAGTTTTTGTATTTTTGGTAGAGACGGGGTTTCACCGTGTTGGCCAGGATGGTCTCCTTCTCTTGACCTTGTGATCCTCCCGCTTCGGCCTCCCAAAGTGCTGGAATTACAGGCCTGAGCGGCCCAAACTCAGTTCATTTTAAGCCAGTTTTTTTTAATACAAGAAATTAGGCTTGTTCAGAGACTGCCTTAGGGGTTACTGGAGACTCATGTGTGGGTAGTAAAAACTTTGGGCAATAACTGGTTAATTTTATGGAAGGCAAGTCAGGATTAAACAACATCCACCAAAGATTTCTTTGAGATGTTTCACATGTATACCTTGAGACATTTCACACGTATAATTTACAACGAAAGGACATGCAGTCTTGTAAATAGAGTTGTTAATTATTAGTTTCCTAAAATTATATTTGGTCTTATAATTAGGTTTTTACATGATACTCCTTGAAGTTCTCATCTGTGATCTGTAATAGGAAAGAATCCAATAATCCAAATGATGCTGTTGCTTTACTTTTAAAAATTATCCTTTAGGTCAGTGGTTTCCAAACTTACACACACATAAAAATCATCTGAGAACATTGTTAGAATACAGATTCCTGAGCCTTGCTGGAAGATTTTAGTGTAGTAGGTCAGAGTTAGGGCTGGGAATCTCTCCAGTAAAGTCTGAAGAGGATAACACACAAACCACATGAGGAAAAACTCTATCCAAGATGGAGAATAGATATTTCTCTTTCCCAAATCACTTTGTATTTTAAAAATTTAAAGACTCAGGTGGGCACAGTGGCTCATGCTATAATCCTAGCACTTTGGGAAGTCAAGGTGGGTGGGAGTTTGAGACTAACCTGGGCAATATGGTAAAACAGCATCTCTACAAAAAATTTAAAAATTAGCTGGGCGTGGTGGCTCACACCTGTAATCCCAGCACTTTGGGAGGCCGAGGCGGGTGGATCACCTGAGGTCAGGAGTTCGAGACCCCAGCCTGGCCAACATGGTGACACCCCATCTCTACTAAAAATGCAAAAATTAGCCAAGCATAGTGGGGGGTGCCTGTAATCCCAGCTACTCGGGAGGCTGAGGCAGGAGAATTGCTTGAATCCAGGAGGCGGAGGTTGCAGTGAGCTGAGATCGCACCACTGCACTTCCACCTGGGTGACAAAGCAAGACTCGGTCTAAAGAAGAAAAAAGAATTAACAAAAAATAAAGAGTCAAGCAAACATTTAGAAAAGGAATCCTATATTCCAGGTGAGTGTGGTGAGAGGGACATCATTTCCAGGTTAATGAGCCTGGAAACCACCTACTCACAAATATCCTCTGAAAGAGTCCATCATTCCAAAATTCTGGGAAATTCATACTCCTTTTTAAGAGTATAATGTATAATGCAAAAAATTCTGGGTGTTACCTAGTAAATCACTCCTTAATAGGACTAACTTTAACAGATAATTCGATTATTATTTTATTACCTGGCTGAGATAAAGCAGATTCAGGAAATAGCAGATTTCAAGAAAATTGGTAATTTGGGCACTTGAGTCATTTAATCTATTTTAAAACATGACAGCCAGTAGCAGAGTAGGGGGAAGTTTTGGACAATTGGATAGTAGAACAAAAAGTTCTGAGCAATGGGTTGTAAAAAGCGGTAAGGGAGGGCAGTAAGGACCAAATGGTTCTTCATTATGCCACTGCAAACTAGCTTCTGCCTTTGACCTTGACTTTGATGTCGCTTTTGCTCATTGCCATAGCATCCTTAGAACATGGGACAATTCTGCAGCTTCAACTTCTTGACTGTAAAAAGAAAAAAAACCTTACTTCTAGGAAAATTGTCTATGCTTTTGTTTCTTTATGGTTGCCTTGATTCCTTTGTAGAAAACTACGTTAATTAATTAATTAGTTTCATTAGGCCAAGAACTTTGACACAAAACAGCATCATTCCCCTTCTGTAGGGAGGTAGATGAGAACATGGTTATGAACTCATGGGCTTGGGCTGTGATTTAAATTCTGGCTCCACTGTTTAGTAGCTCTGTGACTTTAGTCAAGTTACTTAACTTCTCTGTTTCTCCATTCAGTCATCTGAAAAGCGGAGCTTAATACTAGAGAACCTACATTAATAGGGTTGTTAAGATAATTAATGAGCTTTCAGAGTAGCTGCTAGCACAATAAGCATTCAGTAAAAATGAACTGATTAACTTTTTGGTTTTCAACTATTAAATATTAAAATATTTTAATGGTTTTAAGGAAGGTTTTGTTTGTGTCCCTATCATATGTTTTTAAAACTCAATATTTTCTAAATCAGAAGATTGGGCTCATTACCTTAGAGAATTCTGATGCTATTTTAAATAATACTAGTTACCCTTGCTAGTGTTTTACCACTTGGATTTGGGGGCTTTTGAGGCCAAAACCAAAATTTCAAAATAAATAAATATGTACTTTGAAATGCTGGAGGAGAATTATACCAAAACAATTACCAAAATAGCCAAGATTATTGCCATTTTGAGGTTTTTGAGAGGGTTTTTTTTTTTTTTTTTTTTCTGGCAGTGAGGAGGTGGAGGTGCCCCAAAGGTAAAGAAGACTTTCATAATGCTTACCTCACACAGGAATTCTAGAAGGAACAGTCAAATCAGTGGGGAAAAAAAAATTGCTCTTAGGCTGGGGGCAGTGGCTCACACCTGTGATCCCAACATTTTGGGAGATTGAGGCGGGAGGATTGCTTGAGCCTAGTAGTTTGAGACTAACCCAGGCAACATGGTAAGAGAGTGTCTCTACAAA